GGCTGGCCATCAAATGACATATGCTATAAACTGACAAGCAGTTCTTCTGTCTAATTCCCAAAGGATACAGATAAGAGCTGCTCGATCAGAGATCCTCTAACAGAAATGATTGAGACAGCTAGCCTTCCTACACTGAACTCATTAATTAATCTTTAACTGGATGCATGTCCACTCATCACTCCCAACGGATGAATGGATCTATACATACTATCTGCTTTGTAGTGCAATAAAAATGCATATTTATGTCATTCTGATATTAAATTTGAAAACAAAGATTTTTTTTTATTATTTGTTACAAACATTTATAAAAAGAAAAAAAAACTTGTGTAATCTTGATGCAATATTTTTAATAAGGTTCCTGCATTACTCTTAGATTTGTAGGGACTATCTACCATAATTAAAACATTTTTTTAAATACTTGATTATTTTTAGATTTAATGTCAGACTGGTTTTAAGCTGCAATTCATACAGACAACGGGCATGCTGATTCCAATACCCCCCCCCCCCCCCCTAATTAGTTTTAATTATATTATACAATATCAATTAGTTTATTATACAATATAAACTTAATTTATTATACAATATCAAATAAGTTTTAATTACTTTTCAACAAATTCATTTTCAAAGTTAGGCTAGCCAAATATTTAATCCAACAGGTGATTCCCATGAGATATAGATAACACCTGCTTGATCAGAGATGCTCTACCAGTTAGCTCCTCACACTCAACACATTAATTTCTCTCTAATTTGAAATGCAATTTTCTGTTATCAAATTCTCCTTGACCAAAGCTTGATAATTACACCCATGGGAGAGGTGGAATTTCTCTTGTAACATTACATTTGTTATAGATTGCTGTAAAGTATATAATGAAACAAGATGTGCTTGTGAAACACTGATGCCCCCATATGGCAGCTTATGGCGAAGGTTAAAGTTTCTCAAATGCAAGTCAAAATCCAGGCCAAAAGATAAAAAATGTTGGTACCCAAAGAAAGGTCTTGTCTCAAGGAATATACCTGTGAAATTTGAAAGACCTAGCTGCATCTGTTCAAAAGTTATGGCAAAGGTTAAAGTTTTTTAAAAGTAAGTAAAACGTCAATGTCAAGGTCAACGTGGTTGGTATCCAAAAAAAGGTCTTGTCACAAGGATTACATATGTGAAGTATGAAAGCCCTAGCTCCAACCATTCAAAAGTTAAGGCCAAGGTTAAAGTTTTTCAACAGTAGGTCAAACTCCTAGGTCAAGGTCAAAGGGTCAAAGAGGTTGATATCCAGAGGAAGGTCTTGTCACAAGGGATACACATGTGAAGTTTGAAACCCCAAGCACCAACTGTTCAAAAGTTATGGCCAGGGTTAAAGTTTTTTAAAAAGTAGGTCAAACTCCAAGGTCAAGGTCAAAAGGTCAAAGTTGTTGGTATCCAAAGGAAGGCCTTGTCACAAAGAATATACATGTGAAGTTTGAAACCCCAAGCACCAACCGTTCAGATGTTATGGCCAAGGTTAAAGTCTCATAAAATTTTGCAAAAGTTGGTCAAACTCCAAGGTCAAGGTAAAAAGGTCAAATATGATGGTACCCAAAGAAAGGTCTTGTCACAAGAAATACACACGTGAAATATGAAAGTCATAGCTCCAACCAATCAAAAGTTATGGGCAAGGTTAAAGTTGACAACAGACAGACAGACAAACGGACAAACAGACAGACAGGACAAAAACAATGTACCCTCTGGATCTTTCGATCCGGGGGCATAAAAATAAGTATTTTCTTGATTTAACATATTTTTAATAAGGATACTGCAACACTCTTGCATTTTTTGGGATTGTGTAATCTAATAGTAACAAGATGTGTTTGTAAAACACTGATGCCCCTGTATGGCAGCTTATGGCGAAGGTTAAAGTTTCTTCAAATGCAAGTCAAAATCCAGGCCAAAAGATAAAAAATGTTGATACCCAAAGAAAGATCTTGTCTCAAGGAATACACCTGTGAAATTTGAAAGACCTAGATACAACTGTTCAAAAGTTATGGCGAAGGTTAAAGTTTTTTAAATAAAAGTCAAACATCAAGGTCAAGGTCAAAGTGGTTGGTATCCAAAGGAAGATCTTGTCACAAGGATTACATATGTGAAGTATGAAAGCCCTAGCACCAACCATTCAAAAGTTATGGCCAAGGTTAAAATTTTTCAAAAGTAGGTCAAACTCTTAGGTCAAGGTCAAAGGGTCAAAGTGGTTGGTATCCAAAGGAAGGTCTTGTCACAAAGATTATATATATGAAGTATGAAAGCCCTAGCATCAACCATTCAAAAGTTGTGGCCAAGGTTAAAGTTTTTAAAAAGTAGGTCAAACTCCAAGGTCAAGGTCAAAAGGTCAAAGTGGTGGTTGGTATCCAAAGGAAAGTCTTGTCGCAAGGATTACATATGTGAAGTATGAAAGCCCTAGCTCCAACCATTCAAAAGTTATGGCCAAGGTTAAAGTTTTTCAAAAGTAGGTCAAACTCCTAGGTCAAGGTCAAAGGGTCAAAGTGGTTGATATCCAGAGGAAGGTCTTGTCACAAGGAATACACATGTGAAGTTTGAAACCCCAAGCACCAACTGTTCAAAAGTTATGGCCAAGGTTAAAGTTTTTCAAAAGTAGGTCAAACTCCAAGGTCAAGGTCAAAAGGTCAAAGTTGTTGGTATCCACTTGTCACAAAGAATACACATGTGAAGTTTGAAACCCCAAGCACCAACCGTTCAGAAGTTATGGCCAAGGTTAAAGTCTCATAAAATTTTGCAAAAGTGGGTCAAACTCCAAGGTCAAGGTAAAAGGTCAAATATGATGGTACCCAAAGAAAGGTCTTGTCACAAGGAATACACTTGTGAAATATGAAAGTCATAGCTCCAACCAATCAAAAGTTATGGGCAAGGTTAAAGTTGACAACAGACAGACAGACAAACAGACAAACGGACAAACAGACAAACAGATAAACAGACAAACAGACAGACAGGACAAAAACAATATACCCCCGGGATCTTTCGATCCGGGGCATAAAAAGACAGTTTTATTTTTAAAATTCACTTAAATTAAAGGTCACAGTGACCTTCAAATAGGTCGCGACACACCTTCTACCTAAGATGATTCTAAGTCAAATAGTTTTCTAGTTATGAGCCGAACAGGATTTTTCCATATTTGGCCATAGCATCTTAATGAAAGGTCAGAGCGACCTACTTTTAGTGCGCGACACACCTTCTACCAAAGAAGTATCAGCTGACAAAGTTTGATAATCCTAGGCCTAATAGTATTAAAGTTATGAGTCGGACACGAGAAAAGCTAACAGACAGACAGACGGACAGACAGACGGACATGAATGCCATATCATAATACGTCCCGTCTAAAGATGGGCGTATAAAAATACCAGTATGTACAAAATAGATGGTGGAAAAAGCAATTCAACAGTTTATGTTATTACTATGTCATATCAAGTGCTTTGCACACATTTTTTAAGGAACAGAATATAGTGAATCCTTGATGTATTAAGCAAAGTTTGTATCCCCAAAACAAGTATAGCTGCCCAGGCTTAAACTCCCCAAGGAGAACACTCCAAATAGGATCCAGAAAAATTGTTGTTTCCTCATTTTTCAGAAATTTATATTGCCACATTATGTGGTCACCTTCAAGTAGGTTATGACATATTCTCTGATCTAATGTAACCTTTTTTCAGTAGGAGTGACCTAAAATACCAGAATTACAATGTTTGATCAGAAAAATATTTACACTTTCAACTCTGACCTAACCTTATAACCTTGTACTTGGGTCATGACAAACTCAAAGGTCATGAAAAAATATTTTCTATCAAGTATTACCTTCTACAATCTCTGTGTGGACAGTTATTGTTTGTTGAAGAATTTACATTTCTCATGTTTGTGAGCTTAATTATGACCTTGATAAAACCAGAGGTCAAATGTAACCTTAGAGACAGGCGAGCTTCTAAACTAATAATAGTAGAGGGTACATCACAAAAAAAAAATCATGATTCTGACAATGCAGTCTTATATCATGTGTAGCCATTTTACCAAGTATGAATTTTTGACATTTCTAAAACTTTACAAAGTGGGGAGGTAGACAGATGTGCATGACGAATCTTACATGTGACCCAAACTTGGGGGGGGGGTTAATACATTGACTTTTAGGAAATCAGAATTATTGTTTCATGCAAGACAACTACATTATATTTCAATGATAAAACTGTGACTGACAACTACATTAAATATGAATGATAAAACTGTGACAGACAGTAGTGACGAGAGAGCTAAGAAAAGTTACACATGAAACACAGAACTCAGAGCTGGTTACCAAATATTCAAACCCATATACTTGTAATACACTACTTATAACTCTGTAAGAAGCATCTCAATGTTGAAGGAAGGCACTGCAGCAATGTCTGATTCATATGAATACATAATTGTAGAGCAGGGTGTAATAAAATTTACATCCAATTAAACTAAGGTTTAATTGGCAGAGAAATGCAATCATATTTACAGAGCTTCCACCTAGAAATAAAGGGCTTGAACTTGAATCACTTTGTATCCTGTATCCCTCTATTCACAAAACAGGACAAAAGTCCTATGCTAATATCTAAAGTTAAGTAACTTCAGAAAACATCAAAGGGGGTGATGGAGGAGGATAAATTGATGACAAGTTGTGGGGAAGGGATCATAGTGGAGCAGTATTCAACAGTTCAGGAATGGGACCCCGATCAGAGTCCTCATCTAACCAAAGGATTCAGTCCTACTGAAGAAATCTTGGAAACTTTCCTAAACAATGCAAATGAAATCTTTCTGAACAAAACAACCTTTAATAACAAATTTTAACAAATTGAAACAAGAAAAGAGCACAATTTTTCTGTCTTTTCATACCAATTAAGACTAGTTCATAAAATCGATATCATTTTAAATTCTTATTCATTTAATTTGAATTCAACTTCAAAATCATCCATTTCCCCAAAATCATCCATTTCCCCCACGTGACATAAACTTCCTTTCAGATTTTCACGATCTTCTTTACTCAGTGGCAGAGTGTAACAAACATCTAGGTCTGCACTTGTAAGAATGACCTCATCTGACCTCATCACTTTTTCTTCTGATTCTTTGTTTAAATGGTTTCTCTAATACAGCAAATAAACAGTTCATAATATCATCTAACAATATGTCATTGCCAAAGTCATTCATGTGGACTCCATCTTTGATGTATAGCGAGACATTCTGGTGTATAATGTTATCATGTGGCATGACAACTCCCCCAATTTCTGTGACATATTGACCTACTTCATGGTTGATTTGCTGCCTCTTAGCTTCTCCACACTCCAGCGACATCCCCCTCCACTCACGCCGAGCCAGAATCTCTGAGTATATGAGCTTAGTTGTCGGGAACATTTCTGTTGTCTTCTTCAGATCAGTTTTCATTCTATTAATTAACTCATTGGTATCCCATGATGCCACATCATTAGATCCCAGATGAATCATCAGAACACTGGGATCTGGGAAGTCGAATACTGCGAGATCTCGCTGTAGGTTAAACATGAGCCTGTCCCACTTCATTCCCCGAACACCATCCCAGTAAATATCCACCTCCCTCTCATTGTATGTCAGATTGTGAATTCTGCGAGCCCTGGCTCGAGCTTCTGCCCAATACACTATGGACGATCCTACAATCCACACATTGGTGACAGCAGGCTGGTCATCTGAAATCAACCATTGTTCTTGTGGTCACTCAGGCCAAAGAGATGTAACATCATTCATTGTCAAATTTCAAAACATATTGAAGAATTCCACCTTGAACCACATTATTTGGATTTTAATATTAACAATCAAAACTCATGAAAGATTGTCTTAAACTTCATTGTCTAAATGCAGTCAAGACTTTCTTAATGAAAATTTTATCTGAAAATTTCTTCAGTAGAAATATTTCCACAGAATGCTTAATGTGGGCCACTTTGTCCTCCAGAGTCAAGTAAAGCCAAGCAAAATTATATAGAAGGTCAAAGTCAAAAAATTGGTATAATCCAAATGCCAACGGTGAAATGCTTGTGTCAACTGCTCATTTCCTTATTAAAAAATTAAATTAATGCAAAATTAGGAACTGTGAAGTTAGTTATAGAAAGTGAATGTGAGCATAGTTCAAATTCTTCCTCCAAGATGAATCTGCTCAGTGTTGTGTAAGGTTATTACAAGTTATCCTCAATGGTTATGAAATGAGAAACTCACATGATATTGAATATGCAAGATTAAAGAAGGTCAAGGCCATATTTCTAGAGCACCATAAATTGCTCCATTCAGATTTTTTTCTGTGTATAGAGATATACGAAGCAATCCTTGAAAAAAGTGAGGCCAATATAACATAGATGAAGGTCAGAAAATGATGACACAGTTGAAATGGTCTCACCAGTCTGTGTATGAGATTTGATGTAAATATTGATTGAGCTAAATGTTGGACAGCTGGAATGAAGACTGAGAGAAATACTCTACTTCAGCCTTTTACAGGACATGTGTGCATTAAATGCAAGTTTCCCACTTTCAGATCATCTATGGTATGACTGAATTCCACAAAAACTACATGCATCAATAAAAGATGTATTAGTCTAGGTTGTTATAACAATGTTACTCCAGGTAAACTTAATGTATGCAGTATCAATCAGTAGATGTCAACTATTCTCTTTAGAGAAGTGGACAGGCTTTCGCCTACATCCAGGCGAAAGCCTGTCCACTTCTCTAAAGACAATAGATGTCAACATGTGTGTTAGTTCTTCCCTTAAAAACACTGTCTGATCACTGATAGGTCACACAATCAGTGAATAACTGTCTTTTAATTTCCTCACAATTGACTTGTTGTTTCAAAAAAAATGTTCTTTTTTCAGAAAAAAAGAGACTTAATCTGCAGAAAGACCAATTTGTACATGACTGTACAATAAACACAGGACTCTATACTTCTTATTGATAAAGTACTTCTTACACACTTGTTTAGCATTGTCTGATTTGATTACACATGTACATCTCACAGTGAAAACTCTTTATACTAAACATATTAATGTTAAAAACATGCCTCCCCAGATTAATGTATATTAAAGATATTGTGGATATAAAAATGCAACTTTGCTTGTCCCTTAAGGAGGTTGGATCCTGCCATCAAAAGTAATGAGAATTTTTTATCAAGTATATTTTTAGAATTTATATACATAGCTTAATTAAAAATCAAAACAAAAGATGGGGGGTCACTGCACTTCTTTTGGTGCTACAGAGCATTTAGTTTGACCTTTTTGCACTGTAAATACGTCTTACACATAAATCAATTTTTAAAGTTTTTCCTCTAATATTTTTTTATTCAAATAAATTATGGGAACAAACACAGTTTTATTTCATCTTGAATAGACACATTAAAATTTGTGACAACGACAAAATTTTCAAATTACTCCGCATGTTCAATTATTTGACCTTTTTGCACTCAAAAAATTTCATTTTTCTGGCAAAAATAGTGCTTTGTTTGTTAGTACAGGAATTAATGTTGCCGCTTATACCTGCACTAACAACCAAAGAAAGCATTTTATTGTTTAAATAACATCATGGGTCAACATTTTGTTACCTAGATCAACTGCTGTATTAAAAGTTAGTGTCATTAAAGTTTTCAGAGACTGTTAAATGTGCATTTCTGTGAAATATGGTTAATACATGTATATTATTAATTAGTTCTTTGTAAACCTAATTGATCCGTATTTGGGAGAAATAATTTTTTCTTAACATATATAAGATTCTATTACAAATGTGTAGTGTAAGATTTATCCTTGCATATCTACCTGAAGTGTGATGTATATCCTACCTGTAGTGTGAGATATATCCTACTTGTGATGTGAGATATATCCTACCTGTAGTGTGAGATATATCCTGCTTGTAGTGTGAGATATATCCTACCTGTAGTGTGAGATATATCCTACCTGTAGTGTGAGATATATCCTACCTGTAGTGTGAGTATATCCTACCTGTAATGTGAGTATATCCTACCTGTAGTGTGAGATATATCCTACTTGTGATGTGAGATATATCCTACCTGTAGTATGAGATATATCCGACTTGTAGTGTGAGAATATTCTACCTGTATCCTGGTGTATGTACATCTATTACATACTAGGAGTGTGAGATATATCCTACCTGTAGTGTGAGTATATCCTACCTGTAGTGTGATGTATATCCTACCTGTAGTGTTAGATATATCCTACCTGCAGTGTGAGATATATCCTACCTGTAGTGTGGGTATATCCTACCTGTAGTGTGAGATATATCCTACCTGTAGTGTGAGATATATACTACCTGTAGTGTGAGATATATCCTACCTGTAGTGTGAGATATATCCTACCTGTAGTGTGGGTATATCCTACCTGTAGTGTGAGATATATCCTACCTGTAGTGTGAGATATATACTACCTGTAGTGTGAGATATATCCTACCTGTAGTGTGAGATATATCCTACCTGTAGTGTGGGTATATCCTACCTGTAGTGTGAGATATATCCTACCTGTAGTGTGAGATATATCCTACCTGTAGTCTGAGATATATCCTGGTGTATGTACATCTATTACATACTAGGAGTGTGAGATATATCCTACCTGAAGTGTGAGATATATCCTGGTGTATGTACATCTATTACATACTAGTAGTGTGAGATATATCCTACCTGTAGTGTGACTATATCCTACCTGTAATATGAGGTATATCCTACCTGTAGTGTGAGTATATCCTACCTGTAGTATGAGATATATCCTACCTGTAGTGTGAGAATATCCTACCTGTAATGTGAGATATGTCCTTCTGGTTAGTTCCTGTGACCTTGGCCTCTTTTTGTAATTCTTCTATCATATCCTCATCTTCAATATCCCAGGTACTGGCTCCACCCTCCCCAATCATTCCAACTCCCGGGCCCTACAAAACGGATACAAAAAGATACATGTACCATCAGAATCTAGGTTTTTTTCTTCATCCTATAAAGAGACATATACAAATGGCACCAGAATTTATGTCTTTTTCTTCACAGTCCTCTATAAATAAGTTCTTTGGTTGTTTAATACTTTTTAAAATTAATATTTAAGAGTTTTAATTTAAGGAGGGATTCTTGTCTGGTTTCTGACTAGATGAAATATTCAAAGTATATTTGCTTGTATCTTGTATATATTTAGATGCAAGAGATTTAAAAGATCATATTTTTCTTTCCTCATCAAAATTGTACAACTTTAAATAGAAATGGTAAACTGAGTTTGAAATCTATCAGGAACTATATTTTTGGCGGAATGGCGGCATATGAAAATATCTTCTTTTCTGCCTCTCAAAATAATTATAGAACAATGAATTTAGTTATAATTTTTACACAATCAAAGACTTGGAGAAAAATTTTAAATGTAAGTTAAGTTAATGATAAGGAACTAAAGTTTTAAAATATATCAAATAAATATGATTTTCCAAACAAACGACAATTACGTTAGCTTTTAAAAGCTTCCAATCTAAGTTCAGATTTGATCCAAAAATTGGTAAAAAGTGTTTTTTCTCTCTTTAGTTAGTAAACAGTCAAAACTTTTTGTTTTTATAAAATTTTGTATATTTATGTGACACTTTACCATATGTGAAAATAAGAAAAATTTAAATATAGGAAGCATATAAAAATAACTAAAATATCTTTAAAATTCTAAGAAAAGTAGAGAAAATTCGGATTAGCCAATATCCATTTTAGTTAAATTATTTATGTCAATTTGGTAATATCATCTTACAGACCCTATATGGTAATATCTCTTTATGCAAAAAGAAAAACATTTAATTTATTGAAATAGAAGTAGTCATCGCATGATTGGCAACAGTAATTTTTTATTCTTAATGTCCAGGGAAAAGGTACTGACCTTGACCTGACCTTGCCTCTAATATAAAATGGTCAAATTTAATCTAACTGATACCATCACTTAGTGATATTGTCTTCTTGATTCTGTGAAAATTTCATTGATTTTTTAAATATAAGAAATAAGTGTTCTTATGAGAAGAATCCCTCCTTAAAACATTATAAATAAATTTGGTTCTTTTCTTATTCAAAGCAGTGAATGACTTTTACTTACAAGAATTTTAACCTGTGATTTCTCTTCTTTGTTTCTTTTTTTCAGTCAAGGTATAAAGTACAACACCAATATAGGGACATGAAACAAAAAAAATAATTGCTTACTTTTGTTACACATGAATGCTAATTTCATATATGATGGTATACTCCCCCCTTCCAAACTGGGAATGCTTGAATATTCATCACAGTGTTATTTGGTTTTTTAGTCACCTTATTTGTGTAGGAGATTTTAAATTTTTTTTTTTTAATTTACATGCAAATACTTTTTTTCAAACATAAAAGACACTAAAATCTAAAATTAAATGCATTAGAAAGTCCTTTAATATTATTACAAGCTTATCTTTTAAAAAGATTGGTGAGCTAGCACTGTAGCATAATAAAATACAGAAGATACCTGAACCATTTGTTAAATTTGCTGAATCGATTAATTATTAATAAAAAGGCACATTAATTGGAGCACTGGGGGGGGGGGGGGTCATAATTCAGAATGGTGAATCTAAGAATGGGGTTCACTTCGGCAATGGCATAACTCCTAACTGTGCTTTAAGCATTCTGTATTCTACTGTAATTTCAATTTGGAGGTGAAAAAAAGGTCAGTAGAACCAATGAGCACTAGTTTAAAATATTCCAGTGTGGTACTGTTTTTTAGCAATCGCATCTTCTCGGAACTTTCCGGCAAGCTCTGTAAACATATCCGAGGTTGCCGCAGTTTTCCGAACTTGCCGGAAAAATCAATGAAGGTAGATTAGAAAAGCTAGGTATTCATTACAATTTTAGAAATAACAGTCTTCGTTTTATAAGACCCGAGTAACTGTTACTTTTTGTTCATTTACGTGCAGGATAGACAACAAAACACGAAACTTCAGATCATATGTATTTTCAGATGATAAAAACTAAACTGACATGTCTTTCCGACATACTCTGAAAAGATTTTTTTCCGAGCTTGCCGAAATTATCCAGGAAGGTGGTATAACTGTGAGGAAAGCTAGATGTCTAGAATCTTGGCATTATATGACCTAAGTTTTTCTTGTACTTTTATGTGTAGGTTAGACAATAAATTAAAAAAAAAAAAATCAGAATCCGGATCTAGACTGGTATTGCCTGTCTCTAACGTAAGAAATGTATATCGCACATATCAGACAGGAAAGGCTAGTGTAAATTCTGATCATATCTATATTTGTATGACAAAACGAAATTGTTATCGCACAGTCTATCTACAGTAGTTTTCCCAGAATGCCCGACCGTGAAGTCGAGCATGCGTATTCCAGAAATATAGACTAACGTAGTTGCTAGCGCTCGAGAGCGCTAGCAATAAAATTGTGGGGGTTTTTTTCCTTTCCATTTGAAGAACTACTTGCACTTTTCACTTTATACATCATTAATTTGATTTAGACTAATCTAAGTAAAAGAACAGGGTATTTGTTTAATATTTTAGTTAATAAATCAATCAACTTGAAAGTTCTGGAATATTGCTCTAAGCAGCAGTCTTGTTGATAACTTAAACTACATGTAAATTTCCCAATAAAGGATACAAGTCTCCATTCATATCCATCTCATCATCCGATTCTCCATTTATCTGGGCCTCTGTAGTCTGAATTTCCTCTGGTTCTCTGTGGTTCGTCAGTATACTCTCAGTGGGGGACTCAGACTCAGCAAAACCAAATTTCTCTCCCTTCAGTCTGAAACAATAAAGAAGCATTAGATGATGGAAAAAATAGGGTTAAAACCCTGTCTCTTTAGACTTTTCCTGGCATCACAAAAACAGAATGATGAAAATTTGTCAACTTCACTCACTAACACTACAAAGTGTATGACACATTTTTTTAATGAAAACATTTCTTTCTGCTGAACAAATTTAAGCAAATAATAGTTTCTGAGTGCATACATGTTAAATATGGAAGACAGAATTTATGTGGAAGTAAACTAAATTTTCTTAAAACTACAGTCATAGCTAGAGTTATCTGACCTTGCTTCTCTGTCATGTTCTAGGGCTCTCTGTATCAATTCTGTGATTTCTGTTACTTTGACAACAGCTATATTGGAACACCTCAACACCTGCAACAGAAATTGTATTCCTCATTATACATATATCTTACATACATGTACACATTATAACCCTTATAGGTGTGTTGACATCAACTGAATATCACATTCTAATAGCATGCCAGAAATATTTCATTGCTAAAGTTCTCTTAAAACCAAGATTACCTAATAATAAATAAATAGTCAAAAGGTTCTTTGCACTTGTTTATAATATTCATGTTTCTACTAATCAAAATACATGCATGTATACCACAGTGAAGAAAAAGTGCAAGTTTTCCTAGAAAGATATCACTTCACCTAACACTTACCACAAGTAAGATATCAATTCACCTAACACTTACCAAGTAAGATATCACTTCATCTAACACTTACCACAAGTAAGATATCACTTCACCTAACACTTACCACAAGTAAGATATCAATTCACCAAACACTTACCAAGTAAGATATAAATTCTCCCAACACTTACCAAGTAAGATATCAATTCACCTAACACTTACCAAGTAAGATATCACTTAATCTAACACTTACCAAGTAAGATATCAATTCACCTAACACTTACAAAGTAAGATATCACTTCATCTAACACTTACCAAGTAAGATATCAATTCACCTAACACTTACTAAGTAAGATATCAATTCACCTAACACTTACCAAGTAAGATATCAATTCACCTAACACTTACCAAGTAAGATATCACTTCATCTAACACTTACCAAGTAAGATATCAATTCACCTACTACTTACTAAGTAAGATATCACTTCATCTAACACTTACCAAGTAAGATATCAATTCACCTAACACTTACCAAGTAAGATATCACTTCACCTAACACTTACCAAGTAGATATCACTTCACCTAACACTTACCAAGTAAGATATCAATTCACCTAACACTTACCAAGTAAGATATCACTTCACCTAACACTTAACAAGTAAGATATCAATTACCCCAACACTTACCAAGTAAGATATCACTTCATCTATCACTTACCAAGTAAGATATCAATTCACCTACTACTTACTAAGTAAGATATCACTTCATCTAACACTTACCATGTAAGATATCAATTCACCTAACACTTACAAAGTAAGATATCACTTCACCTAACACTTACCAAGTAGATATCACTTCACCTAACACTTACCAAGTAAGATATCAATTCACCTAACGCTTACCAAGTAAGATATCACTTCATCTAACACTTAACAAGACACATAACACTTACCAAGTATGATATCACTTCACCTAACACTTAACAAGTATGATATCAGAATTTTACATTATCCTCCACCTGATTTCAAAAAAATATTAATATTTGAAATTTTCCTGATCCCTCAAGTGTACAGATATCAAAACTTTATCCAATCCTTCATCTGTAACATATCCCCAGACACCTGGGGCCTATTTTACAAAAGAATTTATGACTAAGACCAAAATTTAATTCTGTTTATAACTTTTTAATCTACATTGTATTAAAATGGTTTTAATCTTTTTCAAAAGACTGTATTAAGATATTTTTACGCTAGCAATTTTAAAGAGAATCATCAATTTTACAAAATTTTACAATCAACTAAGTTTTTTTGTCTTAGTCGTAAGTTCTTTTGTTAAACGGGCCCCTGTACATTAGTTTACCTGATCTTTCATCAGTAACATTTCCCCTGACACCTGCAAGGTACATATTTCCCTGTGTTTGTTCATCCCTATAACCATCTTTCCATCCATAACTTTTTCCTCTTTATCTGTTGGATCCACCAATAAAAATTTCCTTAAAGTAATTTAAAAAGCACTGAACAGGGAAGTTAACTAAAAAATATAATAGACCAATCAGTCTTCAATAAAACTGCAACAAAAATTCAATAAATATATTACAGCAGCCATATGAATGGCTGGCCTTGTATGGTTGGTTTGAATCAGGAAAGATAAACCAGTAATAAAAACAACTGAAGCAAACTATGCTGTGTTCTCAAAAAATCCAGTTAATATTTCATATTTTAATTATTTACTGTTACATCTAATACCCCTGGCATAAAAAGTAGAGTTTATTCCCATCCACATTTTAAGATGTATATACATGTATAAAATGCATATAAACTAGGGTATTAGTTCCCAACAACATTTCAGAGTGTATATACATGCATTTAATGCATATATATTAAGGTATTAGTTCCCTATAACAGTTCAGTTTTTAAAGTATCTTACCCTTGTTGATAGAAGGAGAAGGTGACACAGATGGGCATGTGATGAACACTCAGAGGTATTGGGTCTTTTTCATCACTGGGATGCTAAGTCATAAAGAAAAAATCAGTGATAAGATTTGGCAATGAATACCCTCTTATTTTTAAGTTGTAATCAATGCCTTTCCTAAGGGCAAAGATACCTAAATTGTATTTACTGGTACTAGTGCAAAATTGGTGAGATCTTTACCCCACAAAATGGTATATCTAAATCAATAAATTAATCTATTTTGTCATATTTTTTTATCAACAAAAGTATTTTAAAATCTATTTCTCCTCTCAAAACATAGTTATTAAAAAATACCCCCCCCCCCAAAAAAAAAGAGAAAAAAACCTGGAGTAACTCACCACTATGACTTCATTTCCATCAACTGTGACATCTGGTCGTCTGTAAATTTAGGTAGATGTGTTACAATTATATATCAGTTTCAAATTGCAAGTTCATGTACAGTCAAACAGAGATATCTCAAAACTGATGTGCCTGGAGGAAAGCTTTCAGATCTACAGTAAAACTTCTCTAAACTTTCCATTGGCAGTTTTGTAAATTTTTTGCCAGATTAAACAGTGTGTTAATGTGTCAAAATACATGTATACATGAAGCTAATTATTACTATAGTGGTATACCACTATCTTTATTATAATATTGATTTATTTTAAACATAAAAAAAATGAGTATTCCAGAAATTCAAGGTCTACTGTGTGTCAGAGGTATGATATATGAGCTTATGTTGAACATATATGAAGAAGGGTGAACAGATTTAGGTAGAGGTGATGAATACTTGAGATCTAATGTAAGTACACATATGGTAACATCTTGTGATAAAAGAGGACATTCTAAGAGAGGGAGACAGCTACTTGCATACAACATAAAATTAAAGTTCATTCTAAAAACCTAGATACATGTACTTGTAACAGTTGAACTCTGCTAAGTACATATACAGATGGTAGCACTCTGTGCCTTTTTGCTTAAAATATTTGGTTACAATTAGATATACATGTATGTAGTGAGATTAGTTTGGATATATATTGTTATAATGGCTATCACTAACACTTCTGATACTTATGTACATATTTAATGTTATTGACACAGCTCTAAAGTGCTATGATTATTTTTAAATAAAGCACTCTAAATTACGTGTACAGTTGTACATGCTATTATCAAAACAAAAAAACCTGATTGTTCCATAGAGATATAGCTGCTATACTGCTACAAAATATCATCAGTACAAACCTGAAGTGTGTCATAGCAGATATAGCTGCTATACTGCTACAAAATATCATCAGTATACAAACCTGAAGTGTGCCAGAACAGATAAAGCTGCTATACTGCTACAAAATATCATCAGTACTTACCTGAAGTGTGCCAGAGCAGATATAGCTGCTATACTGCTACAAAATATTATCAGTACAAACCTGAAGTGTGCCAGAGCAGATATAGCTACTATACTGCTACAAAATATCATCAGTACTTACCTGAAGTGTGCTAGAGTGGATATAGCTGCTATACTGCTACAAAATATTATCAGTATACAAACCTGAAGTGTGCCAGAGCAGATATAGCTACTATACTGCTACAAAATATCATCAGTACTTACCTGAAGTGTGCTAGAGTGGATATAGCTGCTATACTGCTACAAAATATTATCAGAATATAAACCTGAAGTGTGCCAGAGCAGATATAGCTACTATACTGCTACAAAATATCATCAGTATACAAACCTGAAGTGTGCCAGAGCAGATATAGCTGCTATACTGCTACAATCCACAATATTTCCGTCATGATTCATCACATTTACATCGACACGAATTTGCCAGACCTAAAAAAGTCAAGGCTTTGTGATTTTTAAATAAATTAAAGTATCCAGGACATTGTTATTAATTTTCTATTAATATGTTCTTTTGTGATTTTTATTCAGAATAAATCAGCAATGAGACTTGTTTTCACCTTTTCTTCAAATGAATATTTCTTTAAAAGAATGAAGCATTGATTTCAGGCCACTGAACTAAAGGATTCTGAATGTTTTTGGTACTAAAATATTATCTGCTTATGTAGTACATATACTCTGCGTCTAACCTTTTCACCAGAAATAATACATAGAGACTCTGTGTCAACACATCTGGACTCTCTAAGGCAGCGTTCCAACAGTCTGTTGATTTCTACGCCCAACTCAGACATCCTAAAACAACATCCAAACATAGTGAAAATTACAAACTACATATAATTAGGATCAGTTGTTGACACCATGTTAAGTCAGAGGTACATCTCTATTGGCATTTCCTCTGATCAGAAAATTACAGTCAGAAGAGAAGAATATAAAGAATTATATCCAAGATTGAAAAGCTTTCAAATGATTTAGAATATAATATTATCTCAGGTGTGATGTCAATAACAAATCTAAAACTCAAAAACTAGAATAAGTTTCCAGTTTTAACAAACCTGCCCACTTCAAAGGCTGGTGAAGCCATGGGAGACAACTCAACATTTACAAACAAGATTCCATCTGAGGGCCTCACTGCTCTGGGAGACACTATTTCACACGAAACTTGTGCCAAAACTCTGAAAGACGGTCACAAACTTAATCATACAAAAACATATATACTCTGTAATACATATATAGAAACTTCATTTTTTCTGATATTAAAGTTGAACAGAGCTAGGTTCACTTTATCCATTAAATGGCCCTGCCCATAAACCAATTAACTGACCAAGACCCAATGTCCCATTTCAAACATTAATATAAAGACTTTGTGTTTTCATTTCCTATAAAAAAGTTTCAGAGAATCAGAAGATTGCATTGCAAAAGTCTGTTATTTAAGTCTCTGATGCAGCTTCATTTATTTTCTCTGAAATCATGCAATCCAGTCTTTTTCTATGTTGCAACTGAATGTATGTTCATTCACTCTAAAACATGTTCGCCCTTGACACCATTCGCTCTAAAACTTGTTCAACCAAAGTCTGTTTATCCTAAATATATTAGTTGGTTAATTTATTTTGATTTTATTAAATTTCATGAATTTTTCTGTATGAATTATAATTTATTACATTCGACCAGGCACGTATTGATGGGGGGAGGGTTCCAAGGATAAAATAAACAATTTTAATCGATGATTTTAACATGCTTTAACTGTAGTAATCGATGTGTGATAAATGTACTTGTTAATTTATAAGTAACATTATATAAAGTTAACGTTATATTAATTTGAGAATAACCTCTGCTCAGACACTGCTAATCCCCAAAATGGAGTATTAACCTGTTAACGTCTCAATTTCCTTAATTATTTTCGAAACAGTACATGAATATTAAAAAAACAAAGAAGGTGTTCTCTAATTTACAGTAAGAAAATTAACAAGAGGCCCATAGGCCACATCGCTTACCTGACCACTGTGGCTAGGAAAAAAGCAAAAAATCAGTTCAGTATTGAAAAGGTTTAACGCATAACATGATAAGTGGTCTCGACCTACCCCTAAAAAGGGACAAGGGGGAGGGGGAAGGGGGGTTATGATTTGAACAAAATTGAAACTATACTAACTAAAGATGCTTATTTTCCTACAAGTTTGAACTTTCATTATGGTCCCATCCTACCCCAGGGGGTCATAGTTTGAACAAATCTGAATCTACACTATCTGAGGATGCTTCCATATAATTATGACCAATCATACCTTTGCTGTTCTTGAGAAGAAGATTTTTAAAAATTTTCTTATGTGTTCCTATGCATCAATTGTGGCCCCACTCTATCCCCAGGGGTTCATGATTTTTTTCAAAAAGAATTTACACTACCTTAGGATACTTCCAAATAGTTATAACCAATCATGGCTTTGCTGTTCTTGAGAAGATTTTTTCTAGTATATCTTCCTAAGTAAAACTTTGATCATCCATTGTGGCCCCACCCTGCCCTCGGGGGTCATGATTTGAACAAACTTAAATCTACACCACCTGAGGATGATTCCATATAAATATGACCAATCATGGCTTTGCTGTTCTTGATAAGAAGATTTTTAAATTTTTTCCCTATATGCTCCAATGTAAAACTTTGATCGTCCATTGTGGCCCTACTCTACCCCCAGGGATCATGATTTGAACAAATTTGAATCTACACTACTTGAGGATGCTTCCATATAAATATGACCAATCATGGCTTTGCTGTTCTTGGGAAGATTTTTAAAGATTTTTGCTATATATTCCTATGTAAAACTTTGATCGTCCATTGTGGCCCCACCTTACCCCTGGGGGTCATGATTTGAAAAATATGAATCTACACTACCAGAGGATGCTTCCACATGAGTTTCATCTTTCCTGGTTCTTGAGAAGGAGATTTTTAAAGGATGGCATTAATTTTTCACTAATTTGTAATTATCTCCCCTTGGAAGAGGGCATGGGCCTTCATTTCGACAAACTGAATCCCCTTTACCCAAATATACTCTGTGCAAAGTTTGGTTGAAATTGGCCCAGTGGTTCTGGAGAAGAAGATGAAATTGTGAAAAGTTTACAACGACAACAACTATGACATCGACGACAGACAATGGACAAATTTCGATCAGAAAAGCTCACTTGAGCCTTCGGCTCAGGTGAGCTAACAACAATTAAATAATTATGTCATTGATAATCATTAAAAAATTGGAAATTAAGTTAATCTATTAATTAAAAGGAAATATAGATATTGTATACTAGATCTATTAACCAACAATTTAATAATAAGAAATGACAAAATTCAACAGAAATTTTTACATATACTAATATTCACAATAGGGCGAACAAGACATATGGCCATTGAGGTACATGGCAAATGGACTTTGGGAAAAGGGATCATGTGAACAGGTAGATAGGGTGAATGGACCCCGATACCGTTACAACTAAAACAGGACACATTCTAACCGCAGTAATTAAGGGCCAGCTTGTCAAAAGACACAATTATTTACTACTTTAACTATCTGCAACCCTGCAGATATTTCCGAAATAGAAGCCATCAGTTGTTATCATAATAGTATCCTGCACATTTATTGCATGGATTCATCCAATATGACTTACACAGTTTGTCCAAGATTCACTTTACAACAGCCCCTGTCCGCACCAAATGTAATTTTAATTTTTCTGTAATCATATGGTTGTCTTCCATCCAATCTCTGCAAAACATGGAGAAAAAATGACTTAATTTTTTTTTTACTAAGAATTAAAGAAAAATCTGCACGTTTTGCTTCAAATAGAAGTAGTTTCATTAATAATAATTTTTCGTGTTGATTTTAAAATTTATCAGTGTCACCAATTCATACCTTTTTATCGCTTAAAGCTTTGATTATAAAGAGCCTTTCACAGGCTGATAATGGTGTGTCTCTCATTTTTCTGATGTTAAGAAAAATTGCTCATGCTTTTTCGAACGAAAAGTTTACCCCTTTACATTGCTTTCTGATTTCATACACATGTGTTTATCTTCACAAACTTAACTTCCGGTTGACTTGTGCGTCTCCTTGCCAGAAGAGCTACACGGTATAGTCACGGACGATATAGAAGATGCCGACAGACAAGTGAATGAGTATGTGACAGATAATGGCTGAAAAAAGCCAGGATTTTACTGACTTTGGGAGCAGAATTGAAGGTATTTGTTTTTCCATTTTTGGTGTGAAGAGAGAAACATCCTCACTGATCAGTAATGAGTCAGTCTTTCCACTCCCTGTACTGTAGCAGAATTAATTCTATGCATTAGATTTTCGTCAGATTCATCTAGATTCATAGTTCCTTGCGTATTCGTCCTGCATATAATATTTGAAAACGTACAGTTCCTAATTTATATGTCCATCATATTTTGTCCTTGTACATGCATTCACTTAAAATAAGAGATGTTTTTTTTGAAAAATTGTACTTGGTTTTTTTTGTTTTTTTTTTCAAATTGAAAATGTCTTTAAAATGCACATTTCTACATTTTATAAATAGGCTTTCATTTGTACATAAATCCATATTCAAAATGATGTAAAATTAAGTAGTTTACTATCGATTTTTACTGAATGCAGGCATATACATAACAATTAATATGTCTCCGCATTCACTTTACATCAACCAATATTAATTATAAGGTGATAATAAGATGCATTTATGTATACTAAAACATCAAAATGTAAGGAAAATATCATGACGATTGAACTAGTTAGAAAATGTTTATTTTTGCCAAAGTTTATGATGTAAATATCATATGAAATTCTTATTAAAACTTGACAATTACGTATAGTAAATCAAAATTTTTGTTGTATTGCAAAGTTAATTACAGCCGAGTTTCTTTGTTATTACTACATGTATATCCTAAGGTAAAATATCAATATGTACAAGTACAGGGGAGGTGAATCGTGGTCAGTGTTTTTCTTTAAAACAATATTTTGGGGTAAATCTTGAGATAAGTATATATATAGGTATGAAAAACTGTTATTCAGTTGAATGTATCAAGAAATAAGAAAAATGAAATTTAATTTCATTCATTAATTGATTAATCCAAGAATCATTGAAATCAGAAAATGCAAGTATTTAGGCAACAGGAAGCTATCAGATACTATAAGATTTGATTTCAATCTAATCATGTTAATCAGAGCCATGGAAATTTGCTCTAAGGTCTATAAATACAACAAGCCCTGTAGCAGTTTTTTCCCTGGGGTCAACATATGGATTGTATAATTGACTGCTAGCTGTATGCAGAGTCTTGCATTACTATTTATGGTCCTTCTTGATGTGTACCCTTTACCTTGTAGGTTCATTATGTAGGTCTGTTCATGAGATTTTGGTTGGTTAATTTAAAAGAAAATAAATCAGAAATAAGTAAAACTTAAATGTGGATTTGACTGAAATCAGGTTCCAGGATTCCAGTTTATTCACTGTTGCTTCCTGTTGTGGAGTACAATATACATTTAATAATGCCATATACTGGCAGTGACACAGTGAAAACTTCCCAGAATGCAATAAATAAAACAAGTCTGTTTATTGATTATTCATAACACTCATATAAATTCATTGATTAGTCATTTCCAATAAATGGAAATGCATTAAAATTAAAATACTACAATTATAATTGTCTTTATTACATACATGTATTAATTTTATTTCAAAACATTTTTTTAAATACCTTAATGGCATATTATGTCTTATCAATGGCTATCGTAATCATGATAATATGGATAAATTGTAAATACCGATAGGCCAACTTATAATTTTAACTTGTTGTAGTTAGTAAATGGACATGTTATTGGGCTTGCTATTGTGTTCTGGGTCAGTGTTGGATAATACTTCAGTTCAGTTTATTACATCAAGAGACATGCATCTTATAGACAGTATTTGCAGTCTTTGGGAGTACATGTAGTATTTTTTATGTAGTCTTATATTGTGGGCATTTAAGAATGAAAAGGAATTCATAGACCCTGTATCATAGACATAAATGCTTATAATTCATGAAGACTTTATGACGATTTCTTCAGTTTCAATACACCATCACTATTGTACAGTTTAAAATTTTAAAAAATGAAAAATAAAGCTATCTGCAAAACGTTCTCATGATGAATTGATGTATAATAGAAAAGAATAAAATTCTTGGTAAAAACAAAGAGCTTTGCATCATGTGAATGGTACTAAGATCTTCTTTGAAGCCCAGTTTTAGTAGAATTATCTTTGACTGATTCAGGTCCATATCTCATTTCTGTAGACCTTTAATACACTCCCTCTATGTCTCAAGTATATATCTCTCATGTGTAGAACTTTGATACATCCCCTCTGTGTCCAGCTCCTCTATAGACTGTTCTAGGTTAGTATCTCACTTATACAGAGAGTATTTCTATGTCTCAGATCTGCATCATTCTAAATAAGTATAGACTGTTGCTTGTCCACTCGATGTGTCTGGTCCATAGCTATAGACTCAAGTCCATACCTCTGTTAGAATGTTCATACAGATCCCTTGTATCTCAGGTCTATATCTCACTTAAATAGACCTGTGATACTCTTTCAAGTAGATAATCCTCTGTGTGGAACTTTCATTTGATACATTAATTATTTCTTAATTTACCTACTTTCCAAGGTTAATATCTCGCATGTAAAAGCATTGTCTTTCCATGTCTCAGTTTATCAAATTTCGTATCTAGACTGTTGCATGTCTCAATCCTCTTGATTCCTTGTCTCAGATCCATATCTCATTTGATGAGTATTAGCATTCCATACAGCTCCTTGATGCCTTGATCAGGTCCATATCTCATTTGATGAGTATTAGCATTCCATACAGTTTCTTGATGCCTTGATCAGGTCCATATCTCATTTGATGAGTATTAGCATTCCATGCAACTTCTTGATGCCTTGATCAGGTCCATATCTCATTTGATGAGTATTAGCATTCCATACAGCTCCTTGATGCCTTGTCTCAGGTCCATATCTCATTTGATGAGTATTAGCATTCCATACAGCTCCTTGATGCCTTGATCAGGTCCATATTTTGCTTGAAAGACTGTAACTGATTCCTCGTGTCTCAAATCCCTACTTTCCTTCTACAGATTGTTGAGACACTGTCTTGGGTCTATATATATATATATATATTTCCTATGTGGAATGTTGATGTTGCCTTTCTGTGTCTCGGAGACAGTCCTATGCCACCACCTGCTTTAGCTTCACGTAGACAGTTGTATTGATTCTCAAAGAAATTAAGCACTGGAATGGTGGTGCAAATTATCAGTAGCTATTGATCTGCAGGGCCAATGTTGGAGCTGTTATTGACATGTAGGCCGGAAAAAAGCTTTGTCTTTTTTTACCAAACTCCCCTCCCACTTGCTTATAATTAATGGAGCCTGCTTTCTTTTTGAACTTAGTAAATAAAACTTGTTATGACATGACTATTGATTGATTTCTCTGTAAATAATGGCTCCCTGAGTCTGATGTTGGCTGCAGCCCAGGTTAAATTAGACATTAAGGCATGCAGTGTCATTATATTCCATATGGGCAGAAAGAAAAATGATTCTAATTGCTGACTGGGTCTATGATGAGAGGCACCAAACAACTACAGTAGACCTACAGACAGACAATGTTAGAAGAAGCTGTTGAAATGGTCCTTTTGTGCTAATGTTCCGTGTATTATAGTCTGTCACTTAATTAATCTGATATTGATAATCAGTGGAAAATTCCAATGGAATGCCTGTTTTAGGTCAGCCTTTAAGCTTTGTTATGTGTTAATGGTCAGTGCATGATCATGGATTTTCTGTGAAATGTGGAAATATATGAAAGTTAGTGTCTGTTCATGATATGGATGCAGCAGCGGTAAAGAGGAATTAGGAGTTGTTGAATCGCTGTCCTGTTTTAACCATGACTTCTGTGGACCTTCATCTCCAGGGGATATTGAGACGTAAGCTAAAAAAAAATCCTTAAAATTGTGCTTTGCACTCTTTTTCTAGTTTATTTTCTCTTGTATTCAATTCTGATCTATTTAATATTGAAAATATATGACTTTATCAGAGTGTCTGAGTGGTGACTTTACCAGGGTGTTTGAGTGGGAGGGTATGGGGGATGGATAGGCCTTTTAGTAGATGAAGTATACAGAAATATTCTGTAGGATTAATTACAAATTAGCCTAAAATTCTAAGTTTTGTGTCTTTGAATTGTATAATTAAGTGTCAAGACTGGTGATAAACACAGCTTTTTAATGATGCATCTTGGCAATTTCTTCTGTAAATTTCATATGTTGGAATGAAATGTAAACTCACTGCCGTGTAAGGAAGAGGAAGGATTTACTTAAGTACGATACTTATAATAATTCATGTAATTTAATGCAATAGTTTTAGAGTTCTCATTTTTTTACGTAGATGTACTGTATATTATTTGAAATGTTTCCTATATATAATAAACGTGTTATATGTGTGATACTTTCCTCGACATGATGCAGTGAACACTCACTATAGAATACAAATTGATTTCTTTCATGTTATGTATACATTCTTATTCTGTATTGTATGGCATTGAATTGTGTATTAAAGAAACGGGGGAATATCTGGTCTGTAATATATTGATAGCCCTACTATTGTGGTAAATTATTGATTGAATTGGATAATACAAATACCGGTACTGGATTACACCTCTATCATTGGCTAAAATACTGAACAGTTTGGGGACTTACAACTAGTTTAGTGTAGGAACTCTATCATGTAGAGCTGTCCATTAAGTATTGACCCTGCATAGAAAAACTACATGTGATGCACATAAACTGCCATGCAGAATCAATTACTGTACCAATGGACCGAATATAGATCATTAGACTGTCAGACCAAATAGAGACTGCCATGTAGAATCTTAGAGACTCATAGCTACTGACCAAATATAGTCTGCCATGTAGAATCTTATAGACTCATAGCTACTGACCAAATATAGACTGTCATGTAGAATCTTAGAGACTCATAGCTACTGACCAAATATAGACTTCCATGTAGAATCTTAGAGACTCATAACTACTGACCAAATATAGACTGCCATGTAGAATCCTAGAGACTCATAGCTACTGACCAAATATAGACTGTCATGTAGAATCTTAGAGACTCATAGCTACTGACCAAATATAGACTGTCATGTAGAATCTTAGAGACTCATAACTACTGACCAAATATAGACTGCCATGTAGAATCCTAGAGACTCATAACTACTGACCAAATATAGACTGTCTGTAGAATCTTAGAGACTCATAGCTACTGACCAAATATAGACTGTCATGTAGAATCTTAGAGACTCATAACTACTGACCAAATATAGACTGCCATGTAGAATCTTAGAGACTCATAGCTACTGACCAAATATAGACTGCCATGTAGAATCTTAGAGATTTATTAGTACTGACCTAACCAATAGGAGTCGGTAAGGAGTTCATAATGTATGATGTGTTTTCTGTAGCTAACTTAGTATCGATTATAATCAGAAAAGCAAGAAATTTTATAAAATACATATGTGTTTGTGTATTATATTGACTCAATAGAATCTTCCTTGGCTATATCAGATGCATTTACTGTCTCACTGTCCTGATTAAAAATCATCATGTTATATAAATGTTGCAGTGGTACAAGTAGCCAAAAGTATACATATATGCTGGGAGAAATTAGTATAATTATAATTAAATAATGCTGCATTCTGAGCCAAATATAATTTCCATTTCTTCTTCCTTGTATTTTTTTCTTTCTATGCGTCTCTTCTGCTGTTGAATCTGAGACTGACGTAGCATAGGAAGATTAATTTACCTTTATAGGTAAACTGTTACCAGACTGACCTAACATAGGAAGATTAATTCACCTTTATAGGTAAACTGTTACCAGACCTAGCAGAGGAAGATTAATTCACCTTTATAGGTAAACTATTACCAGACTGGCTGAGCTCTGGTACAGGGCTTGTCATGTAGAGCCATTAACTGTGACAGCACATTTAATACAGGGTGCATCTTGTGTTCATGTGATGTGTGGGCCAGTGAAGGTAGATCATAGTGTGTTCATGAATAGTGTATTTATTGTGCTACTAGTTTGTCGCAGGCGTGTGATCACAATGATCAATTAATGAATACATTGACTATATACATCAGCTTTTGAAGACTTATTAACGTGATCTGATTAAAGCATAAAAGCAGTAGTTGTAACAGTTATACATGTATTTGATAGACAAAAATCTTAGAACACAAAGAGACTGTTATTATTGATAGGAAAATGTGAAGATCTAGCAGAGACATTTTTATATATCCCCCCCCCCCCTTTCAGAATTTTCAGTTTTCAAATTTGTTTGGTAAAGGAGGAAAAAGATGACCTCAGACCCCCTTGGAAAACATGGACCCCTGGTAAAATAGTGAGGAGAGTGGTTTATAATTATATATATGTATATGACCGTAAGTGACTTGTCCTACAACTTGGTCACAACTTATATAAAAATCTTAATGTCTGTACAGTGTAAAGTGTTTGTCATATGACAAGAGTTTTATATTGTCCTAAGTAAAAGAACAGAAGAGACTCCTTGTTTTAATTGTTTATTTGTTACATGGTATTATTAAATTAATTCAATTTGGAGTCCTGAATTATAATAATAGCAATGTGTAATAACATTTGTACTAAGTAATTACTGCTTAAATTAATGAGGTGGTGTCTGGGAGAAAATATTAATAAACTATTGATTCACTGAACTGTCAACATGTTGATAAATAATGTTTTATGCATACACCAGCCATAATGATCTATTTACATGTACAGACAGGTGACATTTAGGTGTCCTCATACATTAGTTATTTGTGGGAAAACTAGCCAGCGTGTGTGTGTGTGCATTGCAGTAATACACAGATCTAGTATTTATTGTATACAGTAGCTAAATCTACTTATTAGGGGGAACAACTCGGTCATTGTTTATGTATAAATTCCCTGAAAATTACACATCCCAGAGAAATCCACAAGATAGGACTGCGAATAGGATGTGGAATGTTTTCTTCTCTATTGATAAATGCAAATATCTTTATTGCAATCAACAAGTTTTAGAAAATTTGTAAATCAATACAAATTCTTAAACATCATGAACAAATCTCCCACATACCTGAAAGTTGGAAGTTTAATATATAATTATATATTTTTTTACTTTTTTTCCTTTTCTGGATAGATTGTGTTTATATACATACCATACACTTATAATCAGCTGATAATTTCACTGATCAGCTGATGATAAGTGTTATGTGGAGTATCTGTATATAATTTCGCTGATCAGCTGATGATAAGTGTTATATGGAGTATCTGTATAGGCTACTTGACAATTACTTAGGTCTCTTCTGACTTACTGGTGATATTTTATTTACTTACTAGTTAATTGTTTACCCTATTATAAACAGTTACATATTGTTCAGTAAGTGGGTGAAATATTATCAAGATGAAAGGATATCATATGTAATTTTAATGTTTTTATTAAGTATTAATATATAATATGGTGTAATTTTAATGTTTATATTACGTATTAATATATAATATGGTTGTGATTATTATAATGATTCCTCAAAGCATACAATTTTTAAGGAACATTTGGTCATACCTCCACCCCAGTGATCAGATGTTTGTCGTAGATTAATAGACAAGAACCAAACACAACTTGCAGAAAATCTGTATATAAGAATAAAAAACAAAATGTATAAATTTGGTACTGGTTACTTTATAATGACGGTTGTTATTTTGATGTATATTCATTTTGTACAAAAGTCCTGGTCTTTCCTTAAATCATACAAGTATGTAACTTCAGTTTCCTGTATCGTAATCTCAGTACATATATTTGGTCCACTTAAAATGATAACTTTCCTTTACATAATATCCTAGAACACTTCAGCCTACTTAAAATTGTTTCTTTGTAACATTTTATCCATGTACTTTAAATGTAATTGCATGCCTCTAAAGATTTTAGATTCATGATAATATAGCATATATTCTTTTTTACCAGTGAAATTTGCTGTAAACAAATGTAACAGGACATTAATCCTAAAAATAGAAATGCTAATTAATTTATTTAAAACTCTTGTTTAATTATATACATCTGATCTTTGATTGTTACAATCTAATCATAGTCAATCCATATGAGAATTGCTGGCTGTTTTAATTATTTCCCTATGATAAAAATTAGAAATAATAGATGCCATCTATGGAATTTTATCTTTGTGTCAATGCCAACTGTGAAAAAAAAATAATGGATTCACTGCTGAGATCAAATGAATAGCCATGATTCATCTAGAATGAGACAGACCTCTGTTTTTTGTAGAATATCACCCGATGAATGATGGCCTTGGCTCAGAGACAACGGAGGAGGTGGAACCCCAGAAACAGAGAGTGATATACATCAATGCCCCCCAGCCAGTCAAATACTGCTACAACAAAATCAGGTACTAATCAAATACTGCTACAACAAAATCAGGTACTAGTCCAATACTGCTACAACAAATCAGGTACTAGTCAAATACTGCTACAACAAAATCAGATACTATTCCAATACTGCTACAACAAAATCAGGTACTGCTACAACAAAGTCAGGTACTAGTCAAATATTGCTACAACAAAATCTGGTGCAAGTCCAATACTGCTACAACAAATCAGGTACTAGTCAAATACTGCTACAACAAAATCAGATACTAGTCAAATACTGCTACAACAAATCAGGTACTTGTCCAATACTACTAAAACAAATAAGGTACTAGTCAAATACTGCTAAAACAAAAAAAAGTCTAGTCAAATACTACTACAACAAAATCATGTACTGTCCAGTCAAATACTGCTACAACAGAATCAGGTACTAGTCAAATACTGCTACAATAAAATCAGGTTCTAGTCAAATACTGTTACAACAAAAACAGGTTCCAGTCAAATAGTGCTACAGCAAAATAAGGTTCTAGTCAAAAAATGAAACAACAAAATCAGGTTCTAGTCAAATACTGCTACAACAAAATCAGGTTCTAGTCAAACACTGCTACAACAAATCAGGTACTAGTCAAACACTGCTACAACAAAAACAGGTATTAGTCAAATACTGCTACAACAAAATCAGGTACCAGTCAATTACTGCTACAACAAAATCAGGTACTAATCCAATACTGCTGAAACAAATCCGGTACTAGTCCAATACTGCTAAAACAAAAAAAAAAGTCTAGTCAAATACTGCTTCAACAAAATCATGTACTGTCTAGTCAAATACTGCTACAGCAAAATCAGGTACAAGTCAAATACTGCTACAACAAAATCAGGTACTAGTCAAATACTGCTACAACAAAAACAGGTTCCAGTCAAATACTGCTACAACAAAATCAGGTACTAGTCAAATACTGCTACAACAAAATCAGATTCTAGTCAAATACTGCTACAACAAATCAGTTACTCGGTGATTCATTTTGAAAATGGTTATCATTGAACCAAAGGACCCCTCTTACTGACAACAATGAGTCCCATGCCAAAACCATTGTGTCCAAATCCAAGAGTACTCAACATGCTCAATTACACCGTATATTTTAGGAATGACTCTAATTCTTGGCCAAATTATTCGAGTATAACCTGGTTTGGGTCAGTTTACGCTTTATAATCCGCGAAGCGGATTATAAAACAGCGTAAACTGACCCAAACCAGGTTATACTCGAATAATTTGGCCAAGAATTAGAGTCATTCCTTATAATTTAATTTTAAATTCATTAAACAACTGTGGTTGTAAAATTTCGTTGCTTTTTATTATTTCAAATTTGCCGCTCAATAATACAACCGTAGTAACGGAAGTGATGGGAAGCGAGGGGAGGTAAAAACTGATACATAGTCCTAGCAGCCATGTTGTTTGATTACATGTGGTAAGATCCGAGTTACTGTTCGAAGTAAAAGGTACATCTATTAAATCTGGAATTTTCCATGAATCCCGAGGACTAGAAATGAGATGATTGCATGGATACAGACGATTCAGTTGGTTGTCAGGGGGGTGTGTCCCCATACCAAACCAGGTTATACAGAAATAATTTGTGTTCCTTTTTGGATATTAACCAATCAGAGGCTAGAATACAAACAAAATTAAATTATTAGATATTACAGAGGAAATTCTGGTGAAATAGAAATGGGTTTTGTTCGAAAGTGCAGTTGTTTTATTGAAGCTATGAGTGGTTTGTTCTATAATTACTATCAATTGGAAGTAAGAATGAATGATTTTGTGGCATGTAAATAATATATTGTCAACTGTGCACCTTGGTTCTATTTTTAGATTGTACATACGATTTCACACATAATTTGTATCTGTCATAAAATGCACTATTGAATGATATAAAGAAAGTTTTCTTTATTAAAAAAAAAGAAAAATAGCATGAAAGAAGAATGATCAAATATTTATTAGCATCTAAGGAAAAAATTAAAAATGATTCAGGTTACAGCTAAAATATAAATGTATAGTATACGCTTCAGAAATGTTTGAAGTTCCACAGCAGACAAAACTGAACTTTCTTTTTCTGATAATCGTTTCATTATTAACTGCAATTTAACAGTGATTTGTGAAATCTGACCTTGTTGGCAACCTTATACCTGTTAAAATTGCTCATGCATATCGCTTACCACATGGATATGATGCAATCGGCTAAAATAATTTAAAAATAATAACTTTCATTTTATAAATTAAATGCGTCCCTTGGATACACATTTATTGAAATAATGCGTACTGAGCAAAATTCATGCATAATTTACACAGGGTTCTAGTCAATTACTGCTACAACAAAATCAGGTACTAGTCAATTACTGCTACCACAAATACTGCTACTGGTCAAATACTGCTACAATAAATCAGGTACTTGTCCAATACTACTAAAACAAATCAGGTACTAGTCAAATACTGCTAAAACAAAAAAAAGTCTAGTCAAATACTGCTACAACTAAATCATGTACTGTCTAGTCAAATACTGCTACAACAAAATCAGGTACTAGTCAAATACTGCTACAATAAAATCAGGTTCTAGTCAAATACTGCTACAACAAAAACAGGTTCCAGTCAAATAATGCTACATCAAAATCAGGTTCTAGTCAAAAAATGAAACAACAAAATCAGGTACTAGTCCAATACTGCTTCAACAAAATCAGGTACTAGTCCAATACTGCTACAACAAAATCAGATACTAGTCCAATACTGCTACAACAAAATCAGGTACTAGTCCAATACTGCTACAACAAAATCAGTTACTAGTCCAATACTGCTACAAAAAAATCAGGTACAAGTCCAATATTGCTACAGCAAAATCAGATACTAGTCAAATACTGCTACAACAAAATCAGGTACTAGTCAAATACTGCTGATAATAAACCAGGTACTTTTCATGTTTTGCTTCCATAAAATCAGACATGGAGTCAAATACAGTGTACTGCAACAGTGAAATAAGATACAGGTCAAATATAAGCACAACAAAATTGATTTGATGAAGTATTGCAAGAATGAAATCTGGTATGCTTTCATATTATATTGGGCAGTAGTCTAATAGTGCTATAGTACAATCATGTCTGTTACAACACAGCTGTTGTCAATATTGCTAAAACTCATTAATTTGTTTTCTCTTTAAACAGTACAGCCAAATACAGTTTTTTAACCTTCCTTCCCAAGTTCCTCTTTGAGCAGTTTAGGAAATATGCCAATATCTTCTTCCTCTTCATCTCACTGCTACAGGTAAATTATTTCTTCCTCTTTATCTCACTGCTACAGGTAAATTATTTCTTCCTGATCTTCATCTCACTGCTACAGGTAAATTATTTCTTCCTCTTTATCTCACTGCTACAGGTAAATTATTTCTTCCTCTTCATCTCACTGCTACAGGTAAATTATTTCCTAACTATTAAAAGCTTTCAAACCAGGATATATAAGAAAGGTTAATACATCTACTGGGTATTATTTTCTTGAATCAAAATCATTTAAGGTAACATTTATTGACTTCTTGATCTATTGAAAGAATCCTTTTTTCCCTCAAGAATATATATTTATATAGCAACATGAATGCTTTTCTTATTCTTGTTTAAAAAGTAAAGTTAAAAAGTACTGTTGTAGCAAATTCCCACTGTGTCCCCTACAGGACGATACACCACAGCAGTCCCTCTACTGGTCATTCTTAGTATCTCAGCTGTCAAAGAAATTATTGAGGATTATGTAAGTACTATCATATGGAAAGGTGAACAGTGGTGTTCAATCATTATAAAAAATCAGTCGATTTGTTAGCAAATTCCAAGCACTCAATTGTTAGAATTTTATTAAAACATGCATGACCAGTAGGACCTATCACAAAATTCTTCAGTATTTAAAAATACAAAGTGGACTATTGGGTAGAGGATGATCTTGCAAAATGAAAATATTCAGATAAGAAATATTCTTTTTAATGAATTTGTTGTTTCTATGTATTTTTAAGGTATTTTTATGTTCATTTAGTTCTTGGGTTTTTTCAGAAAAGACATAGACAAGATGATGAAGTAAACAACAGGGAAGTTTTAGGTAATACTTCGTAATTAAACACAATATGAAATATAGTTAGGACCCAGTTTCTGATTTTAAGAGCTGTAGAGAATGGTAATAATGTTCTTAACTAATGCAGCATGTACCTCTATATCTCAATCACAGTTTTGTCTAGTATCACAGATAAGTCGAATATAATGAATACCAGTCTCAACTTCAATATCTACAACTTTTGGATAGATATATCTCAAAGTATTTTGATTTGACATCTAAAAATGGTGTTACCTAGTAGATTAATCTTAAGAAACAATCTGTTTGATGCTTTTGGTCATTTGGGGAGAATTTGCAAAAACAAACTGTCTAGAATTTCCCTTTAAACAGAGAATTTATTTATGAATTTCAGTCATGATGTGGATGCAGTTGTGATATACATGTAGATGTGAATGATTTTGTTTTGTAGTTTTACGCAATGGAGTTTGGACAAGGGCCCGCTGGATGGACATCCTTGTGGGTGACCTTGTCAAGGTCACTAGTGGTCAGTTCTTCCCAGCTGACATGATATTGTTGTCATCAAGGTATAATACTGCATATACTGACATAATAGTTTAAAAATTCATTCATGCATGCCATTATCAATATCAAGATAATCATGTGATGCCCAAGCTCCAGATTTAACCTTTTATTAATTTTTCTTTACAGTGAACCACAAGCGATGTGTTATATAGAAACCTCAAACTTAGATGGGGAAACGAATCTCAAAATTAGACAGGTACTGGGTAGTGAACATAAATCTTGATAAGTCTCACTGTTACCATTGTGGGATACAGTGTATTCCTTATTTCTTCTTTCTGTTTACTGTAAACCTGTGTTCCTTTGTGACTACCAGTCGGTTCTTTTGTTTGCTATTTTGTCATTAAAACACAGTTTCTCTGGCAATTTGTCAATCTGCATGTTATCTTAATTTTATGGTTAGCTAGTGAGGGACTTAGCTAAAAGTTAAATTAACTATCATTTGTACAACCCAATCCTGATTTACTTAATCGCTGCAACAAGCGTTATATTTATTGCCACATCTTTATGACATTCGTGTAAGTCAGTCACATCCAAAGGAGGTTTGTCAATGCTGTTGCAATAAAATAAAATAAAAATTAAGTTGCTGTAAGATAATGCAGGGTTCTAATTGGCGACTAATTTAGTCACCATGGCGCCTAAAAATTTTTCCATAAGTCGCCAAATTGGCGACCATTTTAAATTGACTTGGCGATCGTCGAATTCTGGAAATTTTCCCATTTTTAACAATTTTTCTAAAAAAGCGAAAAGAAATTTAAAAGAAGAGGACATTATTTTTTGCAATGGACATGTCGTGTTTTCTTAGGCATGTCCTGGGTCCCTATATTCTATTAACTTTTAAAGCTGGTGCCTTAGAAAAATGGCCTGGCGACTAAAAATTTGCATTGGCGACTAATTTTTTTTGATAAGGCACTTAAATTTTAGAGGTGACTTAGAGGCCTGTAATGGCACATCTAAGTTGAGCATTAAATGGTCTTCTTTGTCTTATTGAACATGTGTAAATTGTTTTTTGTGCAGGGTTTGCCTCAGACCTCCAAACTGTTGACCCACAATGACCTTCTAGATCTAGCGGGAACGGTGGAATGTGAGCTGCCAAACAGACATCTTTATGACTTTGTGGGCAACATCCGACCCTCAGGAAGAATGTAAGTGATGGGAGTCATCACCCCCTCCCATAATTTACCGTGGTTGGGAGTCGTTCCTCTTTCATCCTCCTTCCATAATTAACCTTGGGTGGGGCAGAGGTTCTGGGATCACCCTGTCCATCTAGCTGTTCGGTTGTCCATCTGTCAGTTCACAATTTTTTTGTGTCTCTGAAAATATTTGTTAATTTTCTGTCAAACTTTATAGAATCAGACACACATTTTGACTAGTATCTTCAGATTAATTTGTCGGAACTGACCCATTGTTTGTTTGTTTGAATGTTGTTTAACGTCCCTCTCAAGAATTTTTCACTCATATGTAGACGCCACCACTTGCTGGTGGAGAGCTGCAAATTTTGTCCTATACTCGGCACTTACGGCCATTGAGCAGTTAGGGATCGTTTTCGTGTCAGCACCTACTGCGAACCCACGATGTAAGGATCAACTCCTTATGCTGCGACCCTAGAGAAGACGCTCTAACCACTGCGTCATGTGGGCGACTGACCCATTGTAGTTTGGACTGACCCATTGTAATTTAGACTAACCAAGTGTTATTTGAACTGACCCATTGTAATATAAACTGACCCATTGTTAGTTGAACTAACCATTGTAATTTGGACTTACCTAGTGTAATTTGGACTAACCCATTGTTATTTCGACTGACCCATTGAAATTTGGATTAACGCATTGTAATTTAAACTGACCCATTGTAATTTGAACTAACCCATTGTAATTTTGACTGACCTATTGTAATTTGGACTAACTCATTGTAACTTGGACTAACCCATTGTAATTTTGACTGACCCATTGTAATTTGGACTGACCCAGTGTAATTTGAACTAACCCATTGTAATATGAACTAACCCATTGTTAATTGAACTAACCATTGTAATTTGGACCAACCCATTGTTATTTGGACTGACCCATTGTAATTTGGACTAACCCAATGTAATTTGGACTGACCCATTGCAATTTGAACTATCCCATTGTAATTTGGACTAACCAAGTGTAATTTGGACTGACCCATTGTAATTTAAACTAACCCATTGTAATTTGGACTAGCCCATTGTAATTTAGACAAACCCATTGTAATTTGGACTAACCCATTGTAATTTGAACTAACCCATTGTAATTTGGACTGACCCATTGTAATTTGGACTTAACCATTGTAATTTGGACTGACCCATTGTAATTTGCACTAACCCATTGTAATTTGAACTAACCCATTGTAATTTGGACTAACCAATTGTATTTTGGACTGACCCATTGTAATTTGGACTGAACCATTGTAATTTGGACTGACCCATTGTAATTTGCACTAACCCATTGTAATTTGGACTGACCCATTGTAATCTGGACTGACCCATTGTAATTTGGACTTATCCATTGTAATTTGGACTGACCCAGTGTAATTTGGACCAGGTCAAGGGCAGGATATTGTTATCAAGGCAGTTTCAGAAAAAAAATAAATTCTTGTTTTTGAGAAATAAAGAATGTGCTTTTCAGAATTTAAGAGTTAAAAAAATTGAAGAATGGTATTGTAGACAGTTATAATGTTAATCTAATAGAGAATTAAAACCAAGTTTTCATTTTACTTGCAATTAAATTGCAATTACTTGCAATTAGATTGTGTTAATTGGCAGAGCAATTATTAATCAATTTCCAAGCATGCATATCTTTATTTTGATTATAAGAAGTGATGTATAAATAAGCCCCTGCCCCTGAAATTGTGTGATGTTTCTTTTAAAGGGCCATTCCTCTGGGACCAGATCAACTCCTGTTAAGAGGAGCCATGCTGAGAAACACAAAATGGATATTTGGTAAGACACGACAGGTCTATGTTTTTATATATTGTACTTTTTAATCACTCAGGTGACCATTGTAGTCTGTTATTGTCTGGCGTCGTTTATCTTGAGAATATCATTAACTTTCAAACATTTTCAGTTCTTCTCTTGAACCATTGGACCATTTTTATCTAAATTTGGTATATAGCATTTATTGGTGAAGGAGAACTTTACTTTTGAATTTCATGGTCTCTGCCTCCCCGGGGCCTAAGAGGTGGGGCCAAAATCATCAAAATTAAATTAAGTGCAATCTTTAAAAATCTTCTTTACCCCTGGACATAAAGCAGTCAAACTGTCAGCATGATTGTGATAAACATTGATCCCCTCTACCAAATAATGACATTCATGGCCCCAAGGTTCAGGCTTTAGTTTATTTTAAGGAGGCACTCTGTTTCACCAAAATTTCTGTAAGCTGTTATTGAAACCTGGTACATGTATGTTTTACTCATGGTAACTGTATGTTTTATATTGAAGGCATTGTCATTTACACTGGTCATGATAGCAAACTGATGCTCAACTCCACATCCGCCCCTCTGAAGAGATCTCACGTAGAGAAAGTCACCAACATACAGGTATAATAGAGAATAAAAAAGTCACCAACATACAGGTAAAATAGAGAATAAAAAAATCATCTAAATACAGGTAAAATAAAGAATAAAAAAAGTCACCAACATACAGGTAAAATAGAGAATAAAAAAGTCACCAACATACAGGTAAAATAGAGAATAAAAAAGTCACCAACATACAGGTAAAATAAAGAATAAAAAAAGTCACCAACATACAGGTAAAATAGAGAATAAAAAAGTCACCAACATACAGGTAAAATAGAGAATAAAAAAGTCACCAACATACAGGTAAAATAGAGAACAAAAAAGTCACCAACATACAGGTAAAATAGAGAATAAAAAAGTCACCAGCATACAGGAAAAAGCTTTATATTTGCTTCTGGAAGCAATCATATAATTCTTTACCACTGTCATCATCACCATATTACTTTGTAAGCTGTGGTGTCCACGTTGACTGTGTTTTCTACTTGTAGATCCTGTGTATTTTGTCTGCTTGTAGATCCTGTGTATTTTGTCTACTAGTCTTATAGATCCTGTGTATTTTGTCTACTTGTAGATCCTGTGTATTTTGTCTACTTGTTGATCCTTTCAATTGTATCTACTTGTAGATCCTGTCTATTTTGTCTACTTGTAGATCCTGTCTATTTTTGTCTACTTGTAGATCCTGTCTATTTTTGTCTACTTGTAGATCCTGTCTATTTTTGTCTACTTGTAGATCCTGTCTATTTTGTCTACTTGTAGATCCTCTTTCTGTTTGGAGTGTTGATTTTCCTCGCCCTTGCCAGCACCATAGCTAACAAAGTATGGACGTCATGGCATGTCAACAAAGACTGGTATTTAGCTTACCAAGGTATGACATACTTCACGGGAGACAATTAAGCAGTTTTGATAATGGTTACAATATTAATGAACTGTATAATTAGGCATTATTACCTTTTCAGATTCTCCACCCAGTAACTTTGGCTATAACTTTCTGACCTTCATCATTCTGTATAATAACCTCATCCCTATCAGTCTCCAGGTCACGTTAGAGGTCGTCAAGTTCATCCAGGCCATCTTCATCAACTGGGTCAGTTTTCCCTTCAGTTCTAAATTCTGATTAGTTTATTCCATTATTAAGTAACATGAGAAATAGTTTTACCAAGTGTTTATCTTGTGCAAATATTTTATCTACAGAATATTTTATACCATGTTAAGATATTCCTATAATTACATTGGATGCCATGGAGTATCTTTTTTGTGTAGTTGACACTTAGTAGATTTGACATTTGATGTTTATTTCCAGGATTTGGACATGTACCATGAGGAGACTGATACCCCCGCCATGGCTCGGACATCTAATCTCAATGAGGAGCTAGGACAGGTATTCCTCCCCTCCTCCCCCTCCCAATCCCCTTATCAGGGTAAAAACAATACCAATTGAAGGGTAATCCACATATTACATATTCTGTATCTGGATTGTTATTTATTGAAAATAAGTTTTGTCAATGTTACTTGTTATTACATTGTACGTGTTTGTGTTATGACATTGTTACATGTTCAGACATTGACTCTCTTTTGCTGAGGGTAGTTGTAGTGTGAAACTTTTGTTCATCTCTTTTCCTGGTGATGTTTGTAGGTGAAATACATTTTTTCTGACAAGACTGGGACACTGACTCGGAATGTTATGGTGTTTAAAAAATGCAGCATAGCTGGTGTACCATACGGGTAAGTAAATACTACCAGGTATTTTATGACAGTGTTCGCTAAAGCTGCATAACTCTATCCTTAATCTATGTTGATTGATAAAGCTGTATTAACATTTTCTCATTGCACAACTGGTGTTTTATTATTGTTTTTTTTGTCCAGAAGTGATGAAGAAGACATAGAAGGCTTCAAGGACCACACCCTTATAGAGAACTTAAAAAACAACCACGTGAGTCTAACACTGAATACATTTTATTGAAGCTAATAATCATTAATTACTCGTACGTGTAGAAGTGTAATTTCTAAGTCCCTCATTGGTGTAGTTTATGAATTAATTTCTTCAGGTCACAGCTCCAGTCATCAGGGAATTCCTGACATTAATGGCAGTGTGTCACACGGTAGTACCAGAAAATAAAAATGGAGACAAAAATTCTGTGGAATATCAGGCTTCTTCTCCAGGTATTGATAACAAGCAGTAAACATGCAAGCTTTGTTAAAGCTCATTCAAAAAGATGTTTAACAGCACCAGTTCTTGATCTAGTTACTAGCATGCAGTATAGGATTGGTCTTGCAAGTGTGATGTGTAAACTGTCTAAATTACATGTATATTTGTTGTTCTAAATTGTTTGCATGATTTTGTTTTTTCCTTGTAGATGAGGGAGCTCTGGTGAAGGGTGCTAGGGAACTGGGCTTCTTCTTCAAAACTAGGACCCCAGACACTGTTACAGTAGAAGTGGTCAGTGACTAAGGCCAAAATCTGTCTTACAATGATATATATTTATTCATTACAGACATATGATTCCATGTTCAGAAAATAAGCATCAAATCATACATGTATAGTGTAAATGTAGGAACATGTACTGTATATAAGCAAAAAAAAAGATCTTGCTCTGCTTCATTGTAGGATGGAGAAGATGAAGTGTATGAGATTCTGAATGTTTTAGAATTCACAAGGTGGGTTTGAGATTCCTTAGCTTTTGGTACATAGTACAAGTATTTCCAGATTTTAATGTATTTTGTTTATAATTTCCTTCAGCACAAGGAAGAGAATGTCAGTGGTAGTCAGGACTCCCTCAGGACAAATCAAACTCCTTTGTAAAGGAGCAGTATGTATCACAGTTAAATCTCAACAAGTAATAAATAAAGGATTCAGAAAAACAAACAGATTTATATCTTAATCCATCTAGGATTTACATTCATGAGTATTGGTTAATGTACATTTACATAATTAGACTGTATGAATTGGATTACAATTAAAGTATTACGCTCTCGCTGAGTAGATTGCAAAAAATGTAAACAAGAAAGATGGCAAAGTTTGCTTAACAAGTTTGTTTCATTGAATCATATAAAAAAACAATTATTGCTGTTTTATAGTCAATATAATGATTTTAGCAACTCTTCATGTACAATATTTACCTCACCCTTTGGGCTCAGTGAATATTGTACTACTCAGGTAGCTAAATCATTGAATTGACTAAAAAAAACAGCAATAATTGTATAATATTTCCAGCCATATACTCATGACTCACTAGTATTTCCTGACAAAGTATGATCTTTATAAACAGGTACTTGCCTTTTGCATGCTTGCTTTTAACAGTGTACTACATTGTATACTGTATATGTGATGTTAATATTTTGTAGGATACAGTTATATATGAGAGACTGGATGATAAACAAATGTACAGAGATATTACTATACAACACCTAGAGGAGTTTGCATCCTTAGGTTTGTTCATATTTTTATTTGTAATATTTTTTGTTCAAATTTTCATAAGTAAATGTTTGTGTATTTCAGTATAACTTTATACCAAAATCTTGCTGTAGAACTTTTGTTTATACGGTATAAACTGGGTTAGGGCAGTTTACACTTTATAAACTGGGAAGCATTTGACATTTGCCAGATTGTACAGTACTTGTAAATTGATTTATTTTCAGGTCTACGCACATTATGTATAGCCTCAACTGATGTGACAGAGGAATTCTATGATGAATGGAAGCACACATATTACAAAGCCAGTACCTCACTACAGAACCGAGACAAAAAACTCGAGGAGGCAGCAGAACTTATAGAGAGGGTACGGTAATGTGTATTGTGTTACAAGAATGGCCCACTGCATGGGTTACCTCAATACTTATAGAGAGGGTACAGTAATATGTACAGTGTTACAAGAATGGCCCATTGCATAGGTTACTTTAGTATTTGTTAACTAGGTAGAATTAAAAAACATGAAAATTGCTGTAAAATATTAAATTTTCTTCTTTCAGAATCTCCATCTTCTGGGTGCTACAGCCATTGAAGATAAACTTCAGGAGGTTTGTATCTGGATATGGTATATGGATACAATATTGAAGATTTTGTTCTAGACTTTGAAGCTAGTTAAGTCAAGCATACTGCATGTAATTTGTACAAGAAGATTCATTTGATTCTGATGACTTTAAAACGAAATTCATTTTCTTACATAGTGATTCTAGTATATGAGGTAAAGTCACTTATTTTCATGTGGTCAAATTATCGTGGTTTGAGAAAAATAATTATATTGATTTGTAGGGAATTGATTTGGTGGATGAAAACATGTCGAGTTGTAGCATATTAGAAATTTTTACATTCTGTGGAGGACATGAATTTGTGGGTCCCTTACTTCCACAAAAACAGTGAAAAATTAACCACATGAAAATTAATGATTTCACAGTATTTAATTTACAAATGTTTGTAATACAGGGTGTTCCAGAAACTATCTCCAATCTGGCCAAAGCAGATATTAAAATCTGGGTCCTTACTGGGGACAAACAAGAAACAGCCATAAATATAGGTAAAGACTGCTTATAAATCTGTCATTAATATCAATAAAGACTGGTTATAAATCACAGTCATAAACAACAGGAAAGATTGGCTTTAAATCCCAGTCTTGTTTTGCTGTCAGTATATCATCACTATTTTCTTTGCAAAGTAAATGTGGAAAATTATTATAATGATAATTTAATTTCCAACAAAATCTTGAGACCGAGGGGTATATTCTCCAACAATGCCAACAACAAGGGAGTTATTTGTATCTGCTATGGCAAATTTGTAGTTTCCTTTATAGAGAAATGGAGAAGCTAGATTTCAGGGTCAACAGAAGTGTCTTATGAAGTCACAGTTGAATGCTACTCCTCATTCATTTGCACTTCACACTTTCGAAAAAGTGTGATGTAATCTGAAACTCAAGTAAACTTTTTCCCACCAATATTTGGCACAATCAAGAAATACTTTGATCCTTTTTCTAGTGAGCAGTCAAAAGATTTAAATCTACTGATAATTTGTTGATGGCATTTGTGATTTATTGGAGAATAATGGCACCTGCATTTCTCTGATCTTTGCAATAATCTTAGTAGAATGAATGTTCTATGATTGTGTATGTTGATAAGTTGTGATACTTCGTAGGATACTCTTGCCAGTTGGCATATGATTGTGTATGTTGATAAGTTGTGATATTTTGTAGGATACTCTTGCCAGTTGTTACATGATTGTGTATGTTGATAAGTTGTGATATTTTGTAGGTTGTTCTATGATTGTGTATGTTGATAAGTTGTGATATTTTGTAGGATACTCTTGCCAGTTGTTACATGATTGTGTATGTTGATAAGTTGTGATATTTTGTAGGTTGTTCTATGATTGTGTATGTTGATAAGTTGTGATATTTTGTAGGATATTCTTGCCAGTTGTCATATGATTGTAATGTTGATAAGTTGTGATATTTTGTAGGATACTCTTGCCAGTTGTTAACACAAGGGATGCCACTCCTGATTATTAATGAACACAGTCTGGACGTAAGTATACACTTACACAATATACCGTATAAGTGGACTTTTAGCGAGACGCAAATTTAACGATTTATAAAAAAAAAAAATGGGTATATATTTTTAGCGAGAAGTAATTTTAGCGATTTTATAATGTCAAGAAAGATATCTATAACAACTGATATGGAATGAATTTTTAGCGGTATTCAATTTTAGCGATCTCAAAACCCTCGCTAATGATGCCAAAATTAAATCCTTCCTTAAAAATTCTGCTTATACGGTAGAATGAGGCAAAGTTGCTACAAATTTTACAGAGGAAAATTGTAAGGATATACATGTATGTTTTATTTGCATTATTAAAGTTTGGATAATTAATTTTATAACCTATTTTATAAATGTAGGGGACACGTGAGACCCTGAGGAAGCATGTCCAGGATTTTGGGGACCTGCTCTGTAAGGAGAATGATGTAGGCCTTATTATTGATGGACAGGTAAGTGACCTTTGACCCTGACCTATAAGTGTGCAGTGTTTAGTTGACCAGTATGCATCTTGTTTATAACTACCACATGCACTAGCAGCTTTGTTGTGTGTTTTGTGTTAAACATGTGTACAACAAATTTGGTTCCATTTTTAAAAGAGCTTAATATTAGCATAAAATCTTGCATATTGGGTACAGTTACTCACCAGGTACATACTACATACAATATCAAGGTAATTTTCTCAAATGTTCATGTCAGACCTTTTTTTTTATTTTGTAAACTTTTTCTAATTTCTATACATGTACTAAGTAGGTGTAATCATGTTAATTAATGTCATTTAAGCACTGATTCTCATTAATTATAGATGATATTTATCAGGAGATTTCTTTTTAATTCATATTTCTTAACTTAATATAAATTGTTTTGATATGTTTATTTAACAGAAATAATCAGTATTAACTCAGAAGCCATATTAAAGCTCTGTATTTTAATGGATTAATTAATCATTTACTGACTTCTACAAGCACTTGCTTTCTTGACACAGTTTGAATTGTCTCCATTTTTATTTGCCTCTTCAGACTCTGGACTTTATATTTCCGTCACATGAATGCCTTAAAAAGCCAATCAAAAAGCGGCTAGGAAGAAAAAAGGTTTTTTCAGTGTTTGTTTACAATGTCTTGTGCATTATGCAGAACTGTTACATGTACCAGCTACATCCTAGATTCCCTTTACCTTTTCACTGGCAGATGGAATTCTGAAATGTATTGAATTTTGTCCTTGATTAATCTGATTTTGAATTGCATTTGTTTAACAACAGCCATTTGTTTAATGCAGAGGACATTTTTGCAAGCTTAAAGTTTTTACATTGCATGTCAGCATCTTGGGTAGAAAAATTTTCCTCGAGAATTACTGTTTAGTGCGATGTATAAAGAAGAAGGGAAAGGTAGTCAAACAGTACATGTGAGAGGTCATTAATTATAATTAGGAGGGAGACACAGGTCAAAATTAGACCAAAAAGTACACAATAAAAAATAAATGTTAAATTATGAATCAACTCACACCAATTATAGGTGGAGGATTTCCCAATCATCTTACTGTTAATAATACAAAAATGGAGCAGTAGTTAAAAACAGTATATTAACCAATCAACTTTAACATGTTGACAATACTAATTTCTAATATTTGCATGAATTCCCATGATAATGTGTATTTTTGTTGTTTATTGGTATAAAATATATTATTTAGCAATATTGACAGAAGTATTTGTACTAATTTAACTTGGAGAGTGGAGTTTCTTGGTTTAAAAAAGTATATAAATTTTTGATGGTTAGTCCATAAAATAAACCATATTAAACAACAAACAGGTTGATTCAGATTGGAATTTTTATTTGGGGATTAAAGTGTGGGGGTTGGGGGGGGAGGGCAATTCTAAATAAGAAAAGAAAAAAGACAAGAAGAATGTCATTGCAATGTCTAATGTTCAAGTTATAAAGTCGAGATAGGAAACAATTGTTTTTTGCATGTTGGGGGTTGGGGGAGGGGAGGGGGGGGGGTAATCTGTTGTTGCCCGACTGCTTTGTTCCTCTGTTGTATAGCTTATTTTCATAGTAAGAGTCACATTAGACAAAATGTGACTTAGAGTAAGATTTAATCATGTATGTTAATTCAATTTCTCACCATTACATATTTGTGCCCATGTAAACTTTTTAGATGAATACAAATCTAGTAGGCTCTAATGTAGATAGAGCTTGAAAGGGGGACAACCCTTTGCATCATAGAGTCATATATTTATTTAATTACCATCAGAAGTACATTGGGTTATCCTAGGAATTCTGATATCTTCATACTCTCTGCCAGATTCTTATTTTTATTTATGGTGCATATTTACTTTTGTAAACAGAGAAAAAGTTGGAATCATATTTTTTTCTTATTATAAACATTCTACAATATTCAGGATATTTTTTTAAAAATTCTTTTTAATGTATGTGATTTAGGGACAATGCTACACTTGTTTTCTTCCAATCTTTAATCCTCTGTGTGTTTACAGACATTGAAGTATGGCCTGTCTTGTGACTGCAGAAAAGACTTCCTAGATTTAGCAATCTCCTGTAAAGCTGTCATCTGTTGTAGGTGAGTACAACATGTAGATCAAGTCATGTGATGATCATGTGATTTGTGATTTTAATTTTAGTCTATTAAAATAAATATTAGAAGGCTACATACACTAATTACTAGGTTATAAATCACTCAGGTGACCTATTGCTATCTGTTTTCGTCCGTCGTCGTGCGTTAACATATGAACATTTTTAGCTTCTTCTCTGAAACCGCTGAACCAATTTCAACCAAATTTGGCATTTAGCATCTATGGGTGAAGGGGAACAAAAATTTGTGAATTTCATGGTCCCTGCCCCCCTGGGGCCTGAGGGGTGGGGCTAAAACCACCAAAATTAATGCAATCTTTAAAAATATTCTTCTTTACTCCCAGACAACAAGCAGTCAAACTGTTGGCATGATTGTAATAAGTATTGAGCCTTCCACCAAAATTGTGAAATTCATGGCCACAGGGTAAGGGGTTCTGGTGCTAGGGTGGGGCTATATAGATCATATAGTAAAAGTGCATTATTCATTTGAAAATCTTCTTCTCTGCTCCTGGGTATTAAATAAAGTAACTAAGTACATAGTTATGATGAGCAAGAGTGCCTCTTCCAAAATTGTGAATTTCATGGCCCCTGGGTCAGGGGTTCTGGTGTTAGGGCAGCGCTCTATTGATTATATAGTGAAAATGCATTAATTCTTTGAAAATCTTCTTCTTTGCTCCTGGGTATAAAATAAAGTAACAAAGTACATAGTTATGATGAGCAAGAGTGCCTCTTCCAAAATTGTGAATTTCATGGCCCCTGGGTCAGGGGTTCTGGTGTTAGGGCAGCGCTCTATTGATTATATAGTGAAAATGCATTAATTCTTCGAAATCTTCTTCTCTGCTCCTGGGTATTAAGTAAAGTAACTAAGTACATAGTTATGATGAGCAAGAGTGCCTCTTCCAAAATTGTGAATTTCATGGCCCCTGGGTCAGGGGTTCTGGTGTTAGGGTGGGGCTCTATTGATTATATAGTGAAAATGCATTAATTCTTTGAAAATCTTCTTCTCTGCTCCTGGGTATTAAATAAACTTAGAACATAGTTATGATGAGTATGACTGCCTTTTCAGAAATTGTGAATTTTATGGCCCCTGGGTCAGGGTTTCAGGTGTTAGGACGGGGCTCTATTGATTACATAGTAAAATTGCATTAATTCTTTGAAAATCTGCTCCTGGGTATTATTCAAACAAAGGAAGTGCATGGTTATGATAAGGAAGAATGCCTCTTCCAAAATTGTGAAATTCATGGTGACTGGGTCAGGGGTTCTGGTGAAGGGGGGGGGGGGGGACTCTATTGATTATATAGTGAAAATGCATAATTTCTTTCAAAATGTTTTTTTCTACTACTGGTTATAAAGCAAAGAAACAAGTGTTTAGTTATGATGAGCAAGGGTGCTTCTTCCAGAATTGTGAGTTTATGGCCCCTGGGTCAGATGTTCTGGTGTAAGACTTGGGGCTTTATTTATTTAATAATATAGTGAAAATGCATTTCTTTGGAAATCTTCTATGCTTCTGGGCATATTCGAGGCAAACAGTGTAAAAGTTTTAATATGCAAAGGTATTTTTACTAGAATTTTGAACACCAGGACCATTTAGTCAAGTGTTCTGGTCCTGGCCAGGGCTCTATTAACTTGTATTCTGCTGAGCAAAGTTATTCCCCTTTGCCATTCACCTTTGATAATTAATCACTGTAAACAATGTATTTGAAAGGTTAATAGAATAAGAGAATTATGCAGCCAAGAATATTTATTGTATAATACAAAAAGTACTTTCATAGTTTTAATGATCAGGTAGAATGGGAAATAATAGATGAATAAAAACAAGACAAAAATAACTTAATATCTTCAAAGGCCAAGAGAGGCCAATATGAGAAGTAATAATATGGGGTTTAAAATAAGACATTTTGTTAATATTCTGCATGATAATAGTGATAAATGGGGGACAGACAGATACTAGACCAATTATTTTGTTGATGCTAATCATACTATTTTTCTTGCTTTTGGGCAACAAAGCTTCATTTATCAGTTTATGGATCCTCTAAATAGTTGTATTGTACTCAGGTGACCGTTAAGGCCCCTGAGCCTCTTGTATTTCTTAAGGCTCTCTGTAATTTTAACAAAATTTGACTAACTATTGAAATCAGAGCCGTTATTCTTGTGTTTATTTCATTAGTAAATTTACAGTGTCATTAATTGTTTTTAGAATGTAAAGGTTCACTAAGTCAAACATTATCAATTCCAGGGTATCTCCTCTACAAAAGGCAGAAATAGTCGACTTGGTCAAAGACTCTGTCAAAAAAATCACACTGGCCATTGGTGATGGTGCTAATGATGTAGGGATGATTCAGGTATATCCAAGAAACAGATTAACATATATATTTATCTTTTTTGTGTATATACATAGTATTATCTATATTTCTGTATGTTATACATGTATCTGTGATCTCCTTTTTTATGATGTATACATTTACATGTCTAAGGAGTTCACTGTATTTGTGTTTCCAGGCAGCACATGTGGGGGTAGGGATCAGTGGAGTAGAAGGACTACAGGCAGCATGTGCTTCAGATTACGCAATCGCTCAGGTAAAAAAAAAAAATCAAATCTGATTAAATCTCATGTACTATTTACATGTTTATGAATCTTTTTAAATTGTGAGCATTTATACATACAAATCGGTGACTTTCAGAATGATTGTTTTCTTGTAGTTTCGTTTTCTGAATAAGTTGCTTCTGATCCACGGAGCCTGGAGTTATTCACGCCTTTGTAAACTAATCCTCTACTCCTTCTATAAGAATATCTGTCTCTATGTCATAGAGGTAAGGATCTGTCATATTTTTTATTGGTATTAAAATTAATTGTTTTCCTGGAAAAGGAACATGAATTTAACCATAAATACTAATACATATCCATATTAATTGTGACATTTGGGGTATTAATAATTTTACTCATTTCTTTTTTCAGTTCTGGTTTGCTATTATGAATGGTTTCTCAGGACAGATTCTGTTTGAAAGATGGAGTATAGGTTTTTACAATGTGGTAAGTTTGGATGCAAGGAGAAAGAGAAAGTACATGTAAATGTAAAGTAATTGCTTCTCTTATCTACTACACTGAATTCCAGTAATTAATAATCAACTGAGACAACTTTTATTTATTATAAGAAGAAAGCTTGTCAAGTATGAAATTATGTTGTTATCTACAAATTGTTTGATATACAGATATTCAAGGCAGTCCCTCCCCTGGCTATGGGTCTGTTTGATCGTATTTGTAGTGTTGATAGAAACTATAATTGTGTTGTTGTGTTTGATATACAGATATTCACGACAGCCCCTCCCTTAGCTATGGGTCTGTTTGATCGTATTTGTAGTGTTGAAGGAGACTATAATTGTGTTACAGATATTCACGGCAGCCCCTCCCCTAGCCATGGGTCTGTTTGATCGTATTTGTAGTGTTGATAGAGACTATAATTGTGTTGTTGTGTTTGATATACAGATATTCACGGCAGCCCCTCCCCTAGCCATGGGTCTGTTTGATCGTATTTGTAGTGTTGATAGAGACTATAATTGTGTTGTTGTGTTTGATATACAGATATTCATGACAGCCCCTCCCCTAGCCATGGGTCTGTTTGTGTTTGATCGTATTTGTAGTGTTGATTGAGACTATAATTGTGTTGTTGTGTTTGATATACAGATATTCAAGGCAGTCCCTCCCCTAGCCATGGGTCTGTTTGATCGTATTTGTAGTGTTGATAGAGACTATAATTGTGTTGTTGTATTTGATATACAGATATTCACGGCAGCCCCTCCCCTAGCTATGGGTCTGTTTGATCATATTTGTAGTGTTGATAGAGACTATAATTGTGTTGTTGTTGTTTGATATACAGATATTCACAGCAGTCCCTCCCCTAGCTATGGGTCTGTTTGATCGTATTTGTAGTGTTGATAGAGACTATGATTGTGTTGTTGTGTTTGATATACAGATATTCACGACAGCCCTTCCCTTAGCTATGGGTCTGTTTGATCGTATTTGTAGTGTTGATGGAGACTATAATTGTGTTACAGATATTCACGACAGCCCCTCCCCTAGCTATGGGTCTGTTTGATTGTATTTGTAGTGTTGATAGAGACTATAATTGTGTTGTTGTTTGATATACAGATATTCACGGCAGCCCCTCCCCTAGCCATGGGTCTGTTTGATCGTATTTGTAGTGTTGATAGAGACTATAATTGTGTTGTTGTTTGATATACAGATATTCACGGCAGCCCCTCCCCTAGCCATGGGTCTGTTTGATCGTATTTGTAGTGTTGATGGAGACTATAATTGTGTTGTTGTTTGATATACAGATATTCACGGCAGCCCCTCCCTTAGCTATGGGTCTGTTTGATCGTATTTGTAGTGTTGATGGAGACTATAATTGTGTTGTTGTTTGATATACAGATATTTACGGCAGCCCCTCCCTTAGCCATGGGTCTGTTTGATCGTATTTGTAGTGTTGATGGAGACTATAATTGTGTTGTTGTTTGATATACAGATATTCACGGCAGCCCCTCCCTTAGCCATGGGTCTGTTTGATCGTATTTGTAGTGTTGATGGAGACTATAATTGTGTTGTTGTTTGATATACAGATATTCACGGCAGCCCCTCCCCTAGCTATGTGTCTGTTTGATTGTATTTGTAGTGTTGATAGAGACTATAATTGTGTTGTTGTTTGATATACAGATATTCACGGCAGCCCCTCCCTTAGCCATGGGTCTGTTTGATCGTATTTGTAGTGTTGATGGAGACTATAATTGTGTTGTTGTTTGATATACAGATATTCACGGCAGCCCCTCCCCTAGCTATGGGTCTGTTTGATCGTATTTGTAGTGCTGAGAGTATGATGAAGTTTCCAGCTCTCTACAAGGCATCACAGAATGCGGAGCTTTTCAATGCCAAGGTAAGTACAGAACAATCTCAGTTATGTTACAGTATTCTTATTTAAAATGTTCTCATAATAATACTATATGTATAATTATTAATTTTTGTGAATGCAAATTATTGTATGTATACTGGATGTTGATTTAAGTGTTTATATTGCAGGTATTCTGAATGTGGATTTAAGTGTTTATATTGTTTTTTAGGTATTCTGGATGTGGATATTTAATTCTTTGTTTCATTCAATTATTCTTTTCTGGCTTCCTGTGTGTGCTCTTCGACAAGGTAAGCTGTTATATAACTCTGTAAGGTATACATATCAAGAAAGCTATATTATTATACAGATCAAGAAAGCTATATTATTATACATGTCAGGTATAGCAACATAATTATACATGTCAGATATAGCAACATAATTATACATGTCAGATATAGCAACATCATTATACATGTCAGATATAGCAATATAATTATACATGTCAGGTATAGCAACATAATTATACATGTCAGGTATAGCAACATAATAATACATGTCAGCTGAAACTCCATAATTATACATGTCAGATATAGCAACATAATTATACATGTCAGATATACATGTAGCAACATAATAATACATGTCAGTTATAACATAATTATACATGTCAGGTATAGTAACATAATTATACATGTCAGATATAGCAACATAATTATACATGTCAGAAATAGCAACATAATTATACATGTCAGGTATAGCAACAATTTTACATGTCAGATATAGCAACATAATTATACATGTCAGGTATAGCAACATAATTTTACATGTCAGATATAGCAATATAATTATACATGTCAGGTATAGCAACATAATTATACATGTCAAGTTTAGCAACATAATAATACATGTCAGATGAAACTCCATAATTATACATGTCAGATATAGCAACATAATTATACATGTCAGATATAGCAACATAATTATACATGTCAGATATAGCAACATAATAATACATGTCAGGTTTAGCAACATAATTATACATGTCAGATATAGCAACATAAATATAAATGTACATGTCAGGTATCACTTCATAATTATACATGTCAGGTAAATTGCAATTCCCAGTCTGATTAAAGAAGAAATTATCAATTTTCAAATTAAAACATTTTAGTGGTTAACTAGGAGTCAAAAATGATAATAGAATCATAACGGAGAGTGTTGGGAATACTTTGTTGGGCTTTGTCACTATGATCCGATGTAAAAAGGTGTTTCAAAAATGACCTTTTCTTTCAGATATTGCGTTTTCCAATGGACAATCAGGGGGTTACCTCTTCCTAGGAAACTTTGTATATACTGTAAGTATGTACTGTAACTCTTGTATATGATGTACACTAAAGTATTAGAGATCTTTATATATACTGTAGGTATGTACAGTAACTTGTACATGGATGTACATTAAAGTTTAAGGGAACTTTGTATATACTGTAAGTATGTACAGTAACTTGTACATGGATGTACATTAAAGTATTAGGAAACTTTGTATTTACTATAAGTATGCACAGTAACTTGTACATGGATGTACAGTAAAATATTTAGAACTTTGTATTTTCACTCAAGTATTAGGAAACTGTATACATGTATATATACATTTGTACTGTTAACATCGGGAATTCAAATAAATATAAGGCATTGTGTAAAATATTGTACAAAATCTAAGTACATGTTAATTGATTATTAAGAGGCTGTGATGCATTTAATGAGTGAAACTGTTCATGTATATGTGTAATTTCTGAAGTTTATTTAGCTGCATTAACTTACTCCATAACAAAACCTGAATATATTGAAAAAAACAAACATAATTTAAGCTTTACATATAAGTCTAAGGTACAAAATATCATATACATGTATCTACACATACATGTATGTGTAGATAAGGAGAATATTTTTGCTCATTTTGTTTCCTATTTCAGTATGTTGTAGTAACAGTATGTTTAAAGGCTGGTCTTGAGACAAGTGCTTGGACCTGGGTAAGAATTCAGATTTCCAAAAATTACAGTATCATATTTGAATCTCATGAATAATTCATATTTATGTAAATTTGAAAGCAAAAATTATCAATTAGTTTATATCTTACATGCTCATTAAATTATTTGACTCCTTCTTAGAAAAAATGGAATTCTATAACATTTTCTCTCCTTTGACTGGCACCTTTGAGTTTTACCTTTGATATTGTGATTTGTAGCTGACACACCTGGCTATATGGGGCAGTATAGCCAGCTGGTTCCTCTTTCTGCTAGTGTACAGTCATATTTACATGATAGTAGACCTAGCTCCAGAAATGCTGGGGATGGTAAGTCGTACATACACTGAGTCTTACCTCATACTTAATTCTTACAATAAATCACTCAAATTGTACCATGTAATTTTGTTAATTATGGAAAGCTTCAGTATAATGTGATTGTCTGTTATTTATTTCAGGACATAATATTTACCTGCTCCATCTTTTGGATGGGATTGATTCTGATTCCGTTTATTTGCCTCATACGTGATGTGGCCTGGAAAGCGTAAGTCAAAAGTCAGCCTTCCATAGGAGACAAAGAATGATATGTTCTGTGATATATTGTTACCAGAGTGACTTCACTTACCAATATTAATACAGATAATATTTCAGTACAATGCTATTAAAGAAAAGAAAATAATAAATTTGTAGCACCCCCCCCCTCCCCCCCACCCCCAAAAAATTACTGCTGATGTAAGAATATACATGTACAATATCTGTAGTTTTCATTGTCAAAATTTGACTTTGGTTTGTTGTATGAAATCAAATTCCATGAATAATTAAGCTTTATTTTCTGTCTTTGAATCAGTACAAAAGGTTGATTAAGTTATATATTCTGTTGTTGATTAAGGTACAAGAGGACGATTAAGTTTTATTTTTTGTCATTGGTTCAGGTACAAGAGGACGATTAAGTTTTATTTGTTGTCGTTGGTTCAGGTACAAGAGGACTATTAAGCTATATTTTCTGTTGTTGATTAAGGTACAAGAGGACGATTAAGTTTTATTTTTTGTCATTGGTTCAGGTACAAGAGGACGATTAAGTTTTATTTGTTGTCGTTGGTTCAGGTACAAGAGGACGAGTAAGTTTTATTTTTTGTCGTTGGTTCAGGTACAAGAGGATGATTAAGTTTTATTTTTTTGTCGTTGATTCAGGTACATGAGGATTAAGTTATATTTTATTTTTTGTTGTTGATTCAGGTACAAGAGGACGATTAAGTTATATTTTATTTTTTGTTGTTGATTCAGGTACAAGAGGACGATGCACAAAACTCTGAAGGAGGAGGTTCAGGAGAAAGAGAAGCTTCATGAGGACCCGACTCCTGTCGTCATCCGACTGACCAAGAAAAGGTACAAATACTTCATTACTGAGTCTAAAAGGAGCAGGAAAGAGTGAGAAACTTGACTACATGTTCATACTTGTGTAGCCATAGAAGGAGTTTCTTTTTTCTCCAATGTTACTTGTACTTCAGAGGGAGAAAGTAAACAATTTAATTACAGAGGAAACATTTCTCAAGACAAGATATTTTTTTTCTTCTAACATTCATTGAAAGCTAAAATAAATAAATGTTCATACAAAGCATAATTGTATGAAAGACATTGAATGAGGGAGTATTTCCCTTTATCAGGTTGACAGAAACAGCTCGCCTGTTGAGAAATGTGTTTACACGATCGTCCACGAGGATGCAGTCAGCCGCAGAACAACCTCGTAAGTTTATCCTCTGTTCACTCATAAATTCTTCATTGATATAAAGAAATGCTCTCATATAGTGTCTTGTTGTAATTTTGTATTTCATTTTCAATGCATTTTTATGAGATGCTTAATCTTGTCTGTGTTCATTGTTCATCACTTCTTTATAATTATTGTAATATCATTTATTTCATCAAAAATGATTTTATATCATGTATTATTTAGCAGTAAGAAATAGAAGTAAGAATCTTATAAAATAATGACCACTCAATCACACTATAAAACTCCTTACAATGACAGCTCCCTCCCCCACCCCGTCACGTAAGCATATCAATCACTCTGTATGTGGTATCAGGGATTTTCCTGACAGAGGAACATTTCTGACACAACTCAGAAAATACCATGTGCTTTGGCAGGCTACCTTTCATTAATAAAGGCAATAATAAAAATATTCCATGTACATGTACACGTTAGTGTGTACTGTGGGATTTTGATATTTTCAATAACAATGATATGATGATTTCTGGGTCCAAAAAATTAAGATTTATTAAAAGTATACTATTGTCTGAATTTTGACTGCAGTTATTTTTAGTATAAAGTTTGTGCCAATAGCAGAGTTATTTCTGATTTTATAGATAAATTAGGTAGAATTACTGGATTGTAAACAGTTAGTTAGGTGTGCATGCTGTTACTAACAAACTGGGTCTCAGAGTAATGTGGATGGGGGGGGGGGGGGGGATAGATGTGACTTACACTGTATGTACATATAAACTCTCAAGTGAAGAAATAAAAATATATTCAGTCAACACTGCTTTTATTTAATATTCCATGTATAGGCTTACCATACAAAATTTTGTAAAATAACATCAGATTTCATTTTATTGTCCAATCTTCACATAATTTTCAAGTAGAGTAATTCAACATAGACTGGTGTCTTTTACTAGTCTTTTTTATGCATTTAGGTTTTCCATTTTCGATACAAAATGGTAACAATCACCTTCTTTAGTATTTTATGCAGAGGAGCATGAAATTAATTGTGTTAAATGCATCACAAATGATAAATTATTTTTTTCTCATTTGCAAACTTTGTAAATATTTGTATTCAATTATTTTTTACATTCTGGGTGTCATGAATTTGCTGAATCATGGTGGATGAAGTCAATTTATACCTGCTTTATCCAAATGAATTGCAGTGTTACTATGTATTTTTGTGTATATGGTATGAGGTACATGTATGGGAGATGGAAAATGTTTATTGTCAAAAAAAAAAATGTTTGTTGTTACTTTAGTAAGAGGAAGTTACAGGAGAACAGATGGTAATACTGTATAATGATATAAAATGAAATTAATAGCATGTACTGAAGGGGGATAACTGACTCCTGAAAAATCCCCCTAGAGGAATGGAGTATCTCTAAACAGACTTTGTATTGCAGCATTCATAGTCCTTACCAGAGATCACTAACCCCCACCCACAAATCATATTATCCAATCAAAATAATTAAGCTTATCCAACTAAAATCCAGTCAATCATTGCTAATTGCATACAGCATTAATCTTACACAAGAACTTGCAAATTTGTGTTAGAAGCTAGTATATTTTGACTTGATGCTTTCCTCTTCCTATGATCATTTGTAATATATGTATCTTCCAGTTTGTAAAAATTCTCTAAACATTGAAGATTCTGAATTATTTGGAACTTTGCTGTGCAATTATGCATGAAATACAATTGCACCTTACAATGAATGAACCATTCTTAATCTTTGAAATTTTTGGAAATACATTTTACTGTAAATTATCACTTTGCTTTTATGTATATATACTTATTGTCACTTACTGCTGCACTATATCTGGCCATTCCATTATTTTTAATGTAGGTTATGTTTTAATGAAGGTCAAAAAATAAATTGGAAATTCAGAATGAACAATGATTTCAGAGTTAAAAAAATATCTTAAGGAATAAAAAATGATTTTTAAATTTTAGAAAAAAAATTGTTAAAATAACTGTACTAATTGAATGAACAAGTATAAATATTACAAGTATGTTTGTTGCACTTTGATTAAGCAATGTAGAGTATAATATGCATTAAGGAATCTTTTATCAGAATATGAAATTGCAAATTATTTGCCTTTTTTGTGATTATTCACATTTTTACCTGCACCACCATATCATTTTGACTAATAATATCTTGTCTCAATCATTTATTACATGCTCTAAATAAATATTCATATTTCTGTGTATGGTTTTGACAAAGTATCTAATAAAATCAGTCTTTTTTTTTTTTAATCTCCATGATTAACATGAATTCTCATCATCTCTGCTTTTTTTTTTACAGATGGGTTTGCATTTTCTCAGGAAGAACATGGAGTTCTTACTCAGGTAAGGGGGATAATTCATGATATTTTAAAAATACAATGTGAAAATATCCTCAAAAGACTTCTTGATGCCTCAAATAAAGTTCTGCTTAATTAATTGATGAAGTAATAGGTGCGGATCCAGGAACTTTTTCAAAGGGGAAGGGAGGGTGATCAAAAAAAAAAATTTCCAACCTAAAAATTTCTTGACAAGCCCCCCCCCCCCCCCCCCCAAAAAAAATTTAATTCCCTTCCCAAGCATATTAAACCCAGAAAATTTCTTAATAAGCAAAAAAAAAAAAAAACGAGCCTAAAATCCATTTCTCAACATGAAAAACACCTATTTCATGGTGGTGATGGTGGGGTCCACCCCCCCAATCCGTGCATGACTTAATATTCTAATGGATTTGTACCAATAGCTGCCAAGTTTATATAGACCATGCTGAAGTACTGCAAAGATCAGGGGAATTGAACCTGGGAACCCTACATCACTAGACAGGTGCTCTACCAACTGCGCTACCCAGGCCAATATCTATCATTATGTATACATTGACATAAAACTATGATGTTAGGGATTGATTCATATATACTCATATCAGAAGACAGCTGCATAAAAAGTGACAACAATGCTGAGTTTTACATGTATAATACATGTACTGAAATATCAGGATTTTGAGTAAGGTGCTCTCCCCTTCATTTTCACAAAACCATCGGTCTATACTTTGCATTGTACATGAAAATTATAAATTTACATTCATGATAAAGTGTGTGCATGTATAAGAAGATCAAAGTAGGGACATTAGATTTTTTAAGGAGTGACGTTAGCTTATATGTATTCTAAATAGTATACATGATAATTTGATTACTTAATAGGCTCAGCTGATACGAGTTTATGATTCAACAAAGAGTAAGCCAGAGGGGCTGTAAGAGGTCCTTAGTGACTCGGCTATGGGGAGTAGTGTCCAGTGTGGTGTCTACAGTGTGTAGGAGTATCCACTGTGAAGTGTCTACAGCCTCTAGGAGTATCCACTGTGAAGTGTCTACAGCCTCTAGGAGTATCCACTGTGAAGTGGGTCCATTGTCTACAGTGTCTGGTCTTTGGAACTCTTTTGAGGGACCATGTGCAATACATTTTCATCATCTTTCCTTGATTACATGTACTGACTACACATTCCTGAATTCTGTACGAGACTTCTAATAAACATTTTCCACTCCGTGGACACTTTCATTTTCTTAATGTCTTTATGTAAACAGAAGTGCAATATTGAATGAGTGCATAATTAGATTATAAAAGATCATTCTTCATGTAAATCATTTTACAGTATATTTATACTGACATTGTCTGTTAGTTTATTTATATATAACATTGTCAGCATAGTAGTACATACTGATGTTGTATATTAGTACATATTCATTGAACATTGTCAGTGTATTAGTTCTTGTTCTGGTATATTGACATTTTTTGTGTATTAGTACATGTATAATCAAATCCTGAATTGTTTTTCTTATAATCATTCTATAATTGTTCAACTCTCTAAAATTGTGAATGAAAACTTTTGTTTTGTTTTTTTTTTTCACAGAGGATGAAAACTTGACATTTTATTTCCAAGTACATGTATTACTAAGTTCATGTTTATATACCCTGAATTAGGGTGTCTTAGCCAAGATAATGTGACATTTTTACACAGTAGAAATGATTTATTGAGATTATTTATTGTTAATATTTTCAGGTTTTAGCAGTTTGTTAATGATAATTTGCATCATGTAATTATGTTTTGTTGTGAAGCTGTTTATGATAATGCTTTTTAGCATTTGTAAGTCTGACAGTAGGAATATCAGAGAGTCATTGTGTTTAATATAGTTTAAAGCAAGTAATTAATATATTCTCTGCAGTTTGAGAAGTGATCCAAGATGATTTTTAGTTTTATTGGTTGGAGATGGATGTGTCTGCCATCTGAATGTATTTGTCGATTTGTGTCTAAAAATATTTTCCAAGTGTTACTCCTTCTCCTCCAATTTTATTTTAATTTCAATACTACAAATATATTAAAACTACAGCAAAAGACAATTCTTCAAAAAAGTGAAAGGTGGGCCTCTCCCCATACTACAGGCCCGTAATTTATATGTATATAGTGCATGTACAATGGTATACTTGCAAAAGCATTTAGAGTTAGAAATGGAACTTCTACACTCAAGAGGTTGAAATGTTGCACTATGTGAGGATTTTAAATTGCTGTTGTTTAAGTTCCTGGTCATTTTTTTTCCCTTTTACACCAAATTAGGGGTATTTGACGTCCTACTAATTTAGATGTCTGAAAATTGTGTATTGTCTGTTTAAATTTTTGATGTAGGCCTAATTGAATAGTCATGAGAACTTCCCTCACTAATAAGTTAGAACAAAATTAGAGCATAGTGGAAATGGAAACATCATCCTCATAGTCTGTATCATTGCGTAATGTTATTTAGTTAAAACAAAGTTTTTTATCCAGCTCATCATTCAGAAAATTCCAGTATTTGTACATGTATATACTATGTCTCCAAGTATTATTGTTAATTAATCATCCTTATGTAGGACTTTTTTCTATTTTAAATACTTAAAACAAATTATGTAGTAGATGCACAGTCAGATTTCAAGACTTTTGCACTAAGTCAAAGAAAAAAAGGTGTGGGTAATGTAATGATGTTCAGTCTTGTCTAGATATACTAGGGGATTTTTAACTTTCTTAATGACTTATACATATTAAACTGTGACTTTATGATTGAATACTGCACCCAGAACTATATGATAAGCGATATGTTTCTGCTATGATTGTATTGATGAAAGAAAATAAACTGTGTCAGATATATTGGCTTTATTCCTTACAAGTAGAGATCTGGGAAATATCTGCCTAAACTAGAAATCTGACCAGTCAGCAAGGGCTCCACCGGGGGGTAGAAATATAAGGGTGCAGATTAGGGGATGAGAATTTTACTTGATTACAAAAATTTAAAAATATATAGAGAAAAATAAGCAAGACCAACTGCTAAATATCCAACAACCTGTAAATAGTATCCCTGTATTTACATAAGGCAGTAAAAAACATCGTATCTATAATAACTCAATTAGATGTATATTTAAAGAAGAATGAAGCATGTGTTTTCTAAAATGCCAGCCTTCAGTGAATGCAAATATCACCCAGGCTTGACCTTAACTTCAAAACAAACATCAGTTGCAGACAAAGGTGTTAATTAATCTTAAAGTGACAGAAAGATAACCCTCTAAAATTTTCTGCAACCAGCAAGATAATCAATCCCAGGGGATTAATTATACTGCTCTCTCAACCTTTTCTTCTAAGCTTACAATAAGAACTTTTTCCAGCAATGATAGAATGAGGTTATTATCTGAATATCTGTTAAAATAAATGGTATTCTTATATTTACACAGGGCAGAAAAAAAGAAAAGAAAAAGAAAAAAAATAATAATAAAGATATTTTTATCTATATCTTGTTTTTAGAATTCAATAAAATCATAACTCATTGTGTATTTTACCAAAGTAAAGTATCAACATTATTTAAATCCACATTTCAGAGAATGTAAACATTACTCAGAATTGACCTTAACTTCGAAACAAACTTCATTTGCAGACAGAGGTGTTAATTAATCTCAATGTGACAGGTAAAGATAAATGCTTTCGATTTTCTTCAAGAGGAAAGTTAATTAATCCCAAGAGACTCATTGCAGCCTTTCAGTTAGAATCGGAACATTCTAAGCAGTTATCTCTCTTTGCCCATTCACTCTTATATAAAGTTAAGGAATCTACCCGACCACCCCAGCTCCAAAACGGATGACATAGAGAACCAAACTTAGCATCAAAATATGTCTTACTGCCTATTCAACCAACACACCAAAGAGCTAGGTTCACTTTATGCATAAAATGGCCCTGTAGATATACCAATTTATTGACTAACACTTTATGTTCCATTTTAAACATCAAGATAAAGTAGAGACTTAGTACTTTCATTTCCTACTAAAAATTTTCTTCTTAAAGCCAAGGTCTTGGAAAACAGGCTTCATGGAATTGCAATGTTCTTGAATTTTAAGGAAAACAAGTATATTTGAGTACTTTCATAGACGAAAAATAATATGAGCGCACCCTCTGATCTAAAAAATAAAACGTTTTGTAATCCTCAGAAATATTTCTATCATTTAATAGTTTCATATTTTAGATCAGAGGTTGCGCTCTATATTAAATATCGAAAAATAGCTTTAAAAATTGGCTGTTTTTGTAGAATTTTTCAGGATATGAGGAAAATGACGCAATTCATGACGTCATAATGCATTGACTAGCCAGAAAAATACATCTTTTTGATAGATATGCAGTCACCAAAGATCTAAATGATATTTAATGCATTGTCAACTAAAACCAAGCAATTTCAGTTTTTCTGAAATTCGCAGGGCCAAAAAAGGCCCTAAGTGAACCTTGTTCTTTGAACTTAATTGGTCAACCCTAAAAAAAGTTATTAGGAAAAAAACAGAAAATTTGTGGACGGAAGAATGACAGACGGACAGACAGACAGACAGAGTGATTACTATAGGGCACCCGCAAATCCTTGCGGGGCCCTATTAAATAATTTTAAAATACTAGCAGTCTACATGTATTTCATCTTTTATCACTCAAATAATTACTGTGTACAAGTTTCAAGAATTTTACCAGCGACATTTAGATCAGTAGTATGATCAAGACAGTACGGATCGAGGACAGCACTGCTGTCAATAATTTTACTCAAATCAAAAATTAACCAGACCTGATAAAATACTATAGACCTATGCTAAAACGTATATGTGTCATGGATCGGAATTCTTTTTGCATCTCTTCTTAAAGACATACATTATGAATCTTGTACATGGCACAGATATGAAAATACTGTATACATGGCAACCCATATTTTTCCAATATATGTCCAGAAAAAGCTTTTAAAATGGGTATCTTAAATCACTCCAGTGATTCCCTGGCAAGTCTCTATATCCATCTTACTGTATTGTGGCTTTTACCCCTAACCCATAGTCAAGTTTTATTCAGTTGCCCTTGCTAGCAGTCAAAAGTTTCAATGAAGAAACCATGTAGTTGTGGAATGTATTTAAAAAAAAAAATTACCTCTTTAATGGCAATTACATGTGACAAGAAGAGTGTTAGACACCCAAAAATAATTACAAACTTGAAGTTAAAGATATACATATATTTATTGCATTTATTTTACAATATTTAAAAAATAATAGTAAACAGAACAAGGTAAGAAATATAAATAGTTTTTTTCTAATTTTATACAACTTCACAAAAAATTGAATAATATCTGACAATGATTCTGTTTCCATGTAACCTATGGCTTAAAGAACATAAAAGAATGACAAATTTAATGAATTAAATGAAATCATGAGATCCTGTAAAAGTCAATTTGTAGTGAGAAAAAAAAACAAAACAACAACAAGTTTTAATGGATCATCACTATTATTTTTTGATTTTTCAAGAACAATATGTCATGATAAACCTATTAGCCCACATTGGCACATACGGTATGTGTGTATGGTTGAAATCTCATCTCTGTAAGGCTAGAGTAATTTCAGCATTAGTCGAACACAGAATATCTGTGTCATAGCACAGGACATAGAAATACCTAACACAAATGAGAAAAAAATTGGAAACCAATGCACTTTTCTTAAAAGACTTAGGTCTATATACAAGTAAAAGGCTTCAGTCATTTGTTCCAAAATGAGACAATGGTGTTTGCCGGATAAAATTTTGAGAAAGAGAGTTCTCTTTCCTTTGGTCTTTACTCATCATCATCTTCATCATCATCGTCTTCGTCATCATCATCGTCTTCATCACTTTCCTTTGCTGGAGCCTTGGCTTTCTTGGCAGGAGAGCTTGACTTAGTGGGAACAGTTCCACCAGATCTGTATACTTCCATTTCCTACAATTGTAAAAATGAACTTTACATCACAAGCAACATGTAAAAACTAAAATCAGAAACATTTACTGAAGGGTTTGCTTGCAAAAGGTTATATTGTTCAAACAAATTTTTGGAAAGAAATCCAAATTCTTGCCACTTCAGTTTACCTTTGGAAGCCTATGTTTCAAACCTCACATTAGACACTTTGGCTTGTAATGTTTATCTCGTATATCTCGCTTTAACCATGGTGTGTCATTGGAAATTGTTCTGCATATATCTTATCTCAGGCCTTTGCCTCCCTTGTCTATGATAATTTACCCGAGTTACCTACCCTTGAATATTTTAATGTGCCCTAAGTTACCTACCCTAGCATATTTTAATGTGCCCTGAGTTACCTACCCTTGAATATTTTAATGTGCCCTAAGTTACCTACCCTAGCATATTTTAATGTGTCCTGAGTTACCTACCCTTGAATATTTTAATGTGCCTTGAGTTACCTACCCTTGCATATTTTAATATGCCCCAAGTCACCTACCCTTGCATATTTCAATGTGCCCTGAGTTACCTACCCTTGCATATCTCTTCTTGTCTGCCTCGGCCTGGGCCTCATACTTGGATCTATTGCTCATTTTCTCCCAACGTTTTCCGAGTTCCTTAGCAACTTCTGCTACCGACCACTCGGGATGGGCAGCTCTAACATCAGGGCGCTCCTCAGCACAAAAGAAAAAGAAGGCCGACCTGAAAAGATAAATCACCAGAATACTCTTATTACATGTCTGATCAGGTACAGCTGTACCTGAAATTCTATAAAATCATCTCTTTTCAACTCACATTATAAGTTCATTCTAAGAAGTAAATATAACCAAAACTATTGTCAACAAAAGGCAATTGCAGTTTTTGAAACGGTTGCACTTTTTGACATAATTGCACTTTTTGACACGGTTGCACTTTTTGACATGATTGCAGTTTTTGACACGTACAAAGCCCTCTTTGGTGCATTTGGATCCTTTGATCGCTTCCTCTTCTTGCCAGCTGAGGCACCGGCAGGGGGATCATAGCTGGCCATCTCTTTCTCATATCTAGATTTGTCCCGCTCAGCCATTTCCTCAAATCTGCGCTTTTCCTTTGCACTCATTTCCTGTAGGGTGATGGAGAACAATCTCATCAAATGGGACTTAAGCATATTAAGCATTGTATTTTATTAATTTTAAAAGAGACAAATGAGAAGACAGAAAAGAAACATCACAAATAATTGTCAATCATCATTTTATGAAATATTTTATACCAATAACATATTAATATAATACTGGAGAGGAAACCATGTCAGTAAATGTCACACAACTCACTTTCCATTTCTGTGCACACTTTTTGGTAAACTCAGCAAACACAACATTTTCATCAGGACACTTTTTCTTGTGTTCCTCACGGCATGTCTGTACAAAGAAAGCATAAGAAGACATGCGCCCTCTTGGTTTTCCGTCTTTTCTTCCCATTTTGATTTACAGTGTCAGCTCTAAGGAAAGAAAGAAAGTAATGAGATGCATTATTGTTGAAATATAAATTATCACTCCAAGAAAAAAAAAAGATTTTCCCTTAAAATTTTTTTTAAAAAAGTTTTTAAAATATGTGAATATTCAGCAATTGGTTTTAAATGTTTTTAAAGTATTTTTTCCTCCCATTTTACTTTGGATTTAATTAACATTTAACTGCAAATTCTACCAAAAAAAATTGTAAAAAATTCGTTTTCATCTTTTTAAAAACATTTTTTTTTCAAAAACAAGATTTTTTCAGTAAATGAAATTTATGGATAAAATATGCAAATGTGGCATATTTTTAGAATCAAAGTCAGTAAATATTGTAAAAATTTAAGAATAATTTAAGGCATTTTAGTATTTTGACGTAAGTCAAGGAAATGTACATTCTAATGTCCTAGTATATTACTATGGACAGAGCCCATATAGCCCTATACTGTTATGCATACACTACGTTCAGACATGGCGGACTGAACGCTCGCCGACAAAGAACGACCTCAAAAATCACCCTGCAATGTCAAATTCCAATACCATGAATGAAAGTCCACCTAAAATTAACCCTTCCTCAAGGTTTTCTAAGAAAAATAAAGTTATATTTTGATTTATGAAAGATTCTACTTTGTTTTAGTATCTCCTATACATTATACTACAGTATAGGGTTAATACAGTAAGGCATAGAACATTGTACATGAACGAAGCGCTGTGGCTTGTATGGCGTATTACGGCCTTTATGGAACAAAGGAGGTCCATTTCGGTCGAGGTAAAATACTACTAAATATTATTTAATTTGCTTATAAAAAGGTCTGATACGTAGAAAAATGATTAAACTTTCACTTTAAAACATCTGTTCGACTTGTTATACAAGATTCTTCGAAAAATCGACGACGAAACAGACCCTACATTTCCCCATTTACATCCATTATGGCAGTCATAATGGCAGATCAACGCCTGCGATCGTCAAACATTCAACGGAATAGCATTGTCTACGATTTCTATGGCATCTTTATAAAAATGTGCATCGGATAGAAAAACATTTCAACATTTGCAAAAAAATTACAGAAAGTGTCTTAACGTAAATGTACAATTACAGTAATTTTTTACTTACCACTACCCTAGCCTAGTTTTCCAATGTATAAAGACCCACGCTACCTTTCTACCACTATGCGAGAAGCTATGCTTGCCGTTCAACAGATATGATTGGTGTATTGTCGGCAATGTGTCTCGTGTAACCAATCAAAACAGGTGTTACTCGTGACGTTTATGTAAATGAGGGGTTTGTCATTAAACAAACTAACCACGTGATCAAGATTAGCACTCTAAGAAAATACATCTAAAATTGTTTGAAGCAAAAATATAATATAAATTCATTTGTTGTTTTATATATTCTCCAGCTTTCTTATAAATATCTGACGAAGTAAATCAAGATTCATGATTTTCGTTCTATGGAATATCAAGGGGCGTGGCCTGGAACGTCATATAACCTTTGACCTTTTTAGCCTAAACACGAGCCGCCATATTTCAGACAAAACAGTTTCAGGACAGTGAGGACTAGCTCCACTGCGGAAAAGCTAGAAAGTGTGCACGCTCTTTTCTCTTCATGGTAAGTAAACCTGTATGAATAGTGCGGATATTTTATGATCCCACAAGGGGGGCAATGTGAGATGTCGATTTTCCTGAGAACATCGCTTCATATTCAAGTGTAACACTAACAGCAATAAGCTTCAAAAAGAAAAAAAACGCATTGAATATTTGGATGCAAACAGAGTATGCTGTTAGTATTCTGATGGGCGTAAAGAATCGGTTTCTTAACTTGATCTTTTCATCAATAGCTTTGGAACACATAAGATTATATGGAGAAGAGGACAGAGAGATAAGTGTTGGCTAACCAAGGAGCGGTTTTATTGTTTGTTATGTTTTTTTCTTTGCATTTTTCTAGATCTGTGTGATACTCTGATGTTTGCTGGGGGTCAGTCCCTGCACAGCTATTCAGCCTTACCCAATCAGTGTCAGAGAGTAGACGACAAGCTTCAAAACACAGACAGTAATACAGATGTAAGTACTAATTGTTCCTTAATATTAGTAACTTGCAGATCAACCCAGAAGAGTAAATGGAATGTAATGTATTCTGGAGTAAAATTCACAAAGTCATTCGTAAAGATTTTAAAAATTAATAGGAGTTATTTTTAATTAGTTTCCATCTTTGTCTGACTAATGACAGTGTCCAGTATTCACCTTATATGTAACACATAGAATGATATATGTTCATTTTTCAGACTCAAGGTGCTTCTAAGAAGAGAAGAAGGAAAACAAATCTTTGGCTTCACAGACCTAAGCAGCGAAACCCAAGACCAACATCTCCATACGAGGGGCAAGGGAGGTAAGAAATTTAGAAAATTAAAGTAATGCATTGGTTATATGGAATGCTTGATTTTGGAAAGTAACTGGTTTTATTAATTATGCAGTGTATTATATCTAAGTGGGTGTAAAAGATAACTTTATTTTAAGGTATTAGAGGTGTAATATGCCATTTCCGGTAAAAATGATGGCATTTACCGAGGTGTCTGACATCGTCAGTTTTCGGAACACTGTACTTCGTAAACAGAAATGGCGTGTCGTCAAGACGTCCTAGGACGCTAACATAAAACATACACCAAAGGAAAGGAATATAACTTAGCGGAGGAGAGAATAAATATGATATTACATAGAAAACACGTTAATATATTTTGTTAGACAAAATATGCAGTCAAAACGATGATACCTTCAAATACACACTTCATGGATTTTTCCAACTTCTAAAAATAGCAGCATTTTCGAATCTAACGAACGAAGTATACCTTTCTTCAAAACTTTACATTCGCATCGCGATTTCTTGTGATTTTCTCAATATCAGCAAACCGTTTGAGGGGAAAAAATGTACGTAATAGGTAGCATTGCAATTTATAAGTGACGTTCAATGTCCATACGTAAAATATCGGAGATGTTCAAATTATATCAGTAAAAAATAGAATGTAACGTTAAATATGTTTACAACATTGAAGAAAAAAATTAATATTTGATATGGGAATAAATGATTTATTCTGGGTTGGGTTAGGGTGATTTTTGTTATTTTATTTACATTAATTTATTTATTTACTTTTACATAAGTTTACTGTTTAGAAGGGGGGGGGGGGGTTTGAATATTTTTTATTGATATTTTTTATATACATGTGGGAACAAATTAAGTTTTTTTTTTTTTACCTTTTGATTAGTGTTTCTGTCAGTATATATTTTAGTCTACATTGTATAGTAATGTTTTGATCCGTAAAGAACTTCATGCACATGGAAGCTGCAAAAATGTAGGTCATTTTGCAAATCTTTGTCTGGGTCAAGGTCACTGTGACGAGGTCAATCTTCTGAACAAATGAATCTGACTAAAGTGAAGTGTATTCAATAAGACAATAACCTGTTGTTTATATATGCTCATCATTTCTTTAATTATCACATATCCCATGACATTTACAAAAAAAAAATGGGTTAAATTTTTAGGGGTACATCGCTATGATACAAAATATAGATAAATATTGTGGATGGAATAAATTTTTGTTGTTGTTATATTATCACAAACACACCTTACACAAAATTGATATTGTTCTTTTATTGATTTTTCCTACCATATTTTTCTTTGACAGAATATTACAAACGGTTTTATGAAAAAAATCGCCAAAATTGTCACTCAAAGTAAACAAGTTCTCTCGATTACAAGTATTCATATATCATACCTGATGAATTTGAACTAAAAAGAATGCATATATGCAGTCTGTACTGCTTAGTGTTGCAGCTGAATACATGAAACATTCAACTGTTTGCGACTAACTAGAGTAGAGGTAAAAATTACATCTGTACCTTTTGTCTATTAAAGGTGCACCAGTGGTTAGAGGGTACAGGCATGAAAATAAGTATAGAAAAATTATGTTTGGACAGAATTACATGAAACTTTGGGAAATATTGCCTGAAGTGTTGTCCATTATAACTAAACTGAATTTAGTCATATTCAAGGTCATGACCATTACACCCCTAATACCTTAATATTATGCTTTCCTTAAATAAGGGATAAGACATACTGGATATGTCACAGCAGTCCATCTGTTATAGATCTTAAGCAGGCTTTTACTTTGCACCTTTTAAAAGCTTGAATTCACTGAGTCTAGTACTTATTTAGAATTGGCACAGTGCTGACTTGAGCTCCCGACCTTAAGGTCAAGGCCACATAGCACAGAGATCTATTGTAATCTTGTCGTAACTTTAATACTGCATTATTTTTATTATTACATTTGATTGAGATGAATTTAAACTCAATTTTTGTTGTCAACAGCTTATAAGACTCTCTAGATCTTTGTTCAAATTCAGGTATTTTCTCCAAGATCATTACAAAGCAGAGATATGCTAAAATCATGTTTGAACTACAGCTAAGAATGAAGTCAAACCATATATATTGTATTATGATTATGAATTACACATGAAGGTATATGATGATCTTGACTCAAGGTCTCTTTCTAAGGTCAAGGTTAGAGGGCATTTAATGAGAAATTCACTCTGATCTGTAACTTCTCATCTCTTAGATGAATTAAAAGGTAAGTTTGTGTCTGGCTATAATCAGAAGATATTTCACTTGAATGATTAGTCCCAATTTTAATGTTTTTAGGGACAGTATGTCTGTGAATGGTTTCAGCACAGAGGATGACAGTCGTCAAGGACACGACCAGATTTGTTGTCTAATTGATAATGGTGAGCGATGTAATAACAATGCCGGGAATGCTAGCTACAGCAAAAGAATCCAAAAAACAGTCCAACAGAGGAAACTCAAGCTAGCACGAGATGATAGGGTATAGATTGTATTCTTTCATTAATTTAAGTGAATTCTTAATATTTCTGATGGTGTTATAAAATGAAAGTTCGGGCAAAATTAGAAATATTTCTGATTCAAAACTGTCACACTGAGGAGTAGTCTTTTTAATTACGCAGAATTGTCAACCAGTCAGAAAGGCAAAAATCAAACAACTTCATTTTTTCTTTATATTTCTTTATTTATCTGGCACTGATAAATGGTACCACTCCCAATGCCAAAAAATGTTAATTTTCCCAATTTTGAGATAAAAAATCCCAATTCAACTGCCTTGTAATATACCACTATGACATCATAATTCACTTGGTATGAAACGTATGAATTCGTTTTCCTCTTACTCTTCCTCTTACATCAAAAGTAGCCTAAATGTGCCAAGATGTGAGTCAAAGGGCATATATTACAAATGTCTGACATAATTGACATCTTTTAAAACATGAAAACAAGAGATATTAATTTATAAAACAATGAATTATTGTTGAATATTCTTTAAAATATGGATTGGTAGTTGTTAATTTTAGAATAATATCATTTGTTGAAATGATAGAAAATTCCTAATTTGTTATATTCTCAATTGAATCCGTGTTGGTACCATTCCCAGTATGTAGAAAAAAATGCTTAATGGTAATTATACCAACTCAATACAATTAGAATTTAATCTTGCTAGTCAAAAGATAGATGCGAAGAAATTTCACCAAATCCAAAAGTAAGCCAAATTGTTAACACTTTTGTTTGTTTGTATAATTGTTTCCTTTAGGTCTCACATATTTATATCTGTGACTATCATAAAAACGTTATTCAGAGCGTGAGGACAAAGAGGAAGAGGAAAGATAGTGAAGATGAGAATGGTTCACTTGATGGTTCTGAAGACTTACCCGAGGTGGGTCACACATAGTTACCTATAAACAGAATGGAAGACACTCAAACTCTGAAACAAACTCTTGTCATTAGGGGACTTTTATTAAAAAAAATTATATGCTGAAAAAACATTGCATTTGACATGGATGCCATAATAATTAGTTATACATTACTTCGTTGTATAGATAATTTCAAAAAATTTCTTTCCATCCTTTAAATGCCTTTTACATATATGTACATACATTGTTACCCTTGAATGATATCAGTGTATGCTAGTGCTGAACAGTTCTACCAATTTTAGATTGACTTTTTCCAAATGCCTGTGAATACACTGAGGCGGTACAAAAGACACTTCAAGTTACTGACCAGACCAGGGATGAACAAAGCTCAGTTAGCTGATGTAGGTATCCATCAATGTAGCAATTAGGGTGTAGAGATTTATACTTCATAAACATATTAATTAATACACACTGACAGTTTAGGTCTTCTCAAATTCCTAAAAGATATGCATAAATTATGGAGAAAATACTAGTATGGTTTTTGATATTCAAAGAAAGAAAGTTTTAATCTTTTTCATACAAGAAATTCTTAATACATTTAAAAAGTGATATGCAGAATATTATTTTCTCATTGCAGCATGTAGCAAGACATTTCAAGTCAATTCCAGTGATTGAAAAAGAGGCCTTAACCTATTTTATTTACATGGCCAAGAACTACAAGAGTCGATTTGATCAGAAACATTTGGAGCATGCTAATTCTTAAAGAGTCCTCTGCCATTATGAGTTCTAGTTTGGTTGACATGCTGAGTGACTGAGGAAGTGGGCATGTATGACAGAGAATGTGATCTACAGAGGTTTTACAAGGATGTGAATGTTGAGAGATTTAGGGAGATGTGAATGTTGATTTGAGGTATGAGTTGATTTATGAGGCTGTGTGTTGATTTACCAAGCTGTGAACGTGAAGATGTTTGACAGCCTGACTGACCACATTTATCAAGTGCTTCTATGGTGCTGTATTACATGAGTGAACTGTGAATGTTAAAATGTGAATACTGAAATGTAGTAATAAATGAAAAAAAAAAATCTGGTTTGATTTTTAATAACAAAAGTTCAAAGTTTAAAGCTTTTTCTTCTTGAAATGTTTAAATAACCTGCTGAATGTTTACTAGTTAAAGTTATCTGCCCAATGAAGAAGACAGCTATTCATTGAAGCAGATTTGAATCCTTTTAACCACTGGTGCTTTGGGCTATGTTTGGAGAATTTGAGCTCAAAGTAATTAAGATAGAAATAAACTAGATGTGTCAAGGTGACACTAATGCCCCCACTGACTTACAAGTATTAAATATGTGAAAGTCCAAGAGTGTGAAAATAAAAATGGGTGGAAATGACATAGGCCTAAAAAATATCACACTGCTGCTTTTGTTTTCTGGAATCAGTGGTCTATAACACAACATACTGAAGGTGCGTAAAATAGGGATCAATTGATCACTTACTAGCAAAGGAATAAAATGGGTCCAAAAACGGTGAATAATTCTAATTTTGAAAGTCTAAGGCCAGTAAGGACCCCAACATGACCCAGTGGTTCTTGAGACGATTTTAAAAGAATTTTTACAATGTATTTCAATGTAAAACTTTGATCCCATATTGTGGCCCCTCCCTCCCCCTGGCAGCCATGATTTTAACAATTTAGAATCTACACTATCTCAGCTTCCACCTAATTTTCATGTCTTCTGGCCCAGTGGTTCTTGAAGATTTTTGAAGTGTTTTCTCTATGTATTTCAATTTAAACTTTGACCCCTTTTGTGGCCCCACCCCATCCCTGGGGGGCAATGATTTGAAGAATTTAGAATTCATACTACCTCAGAAAGCTTTCACATAAGATTCATCACTTCTAGCCCAGTGGTTCTTGGGGAAAAAATTTTAATGACCAAACCTTATTTTTGCCTTTTCTTGATTATCTCCCTTTGGAATTTTAGCAATTTAAAATCCTCTTTACCCAAAGATACCTTGAGCCAATTTTTCAGGTGAGCTAAAAACTAAACAATTTTCAAATTCCAAGGGCCAGTAACTTTCATAAATGCACTGTAATCACTTTTCGAGACAACTTTATTTTCGCATAATTGTGCACGATGGTCTGCTCATGAAAATTTCATTCTCACATATATTTTCATTAGTATATTAAATTATACATGTATACACAACCATAACCAGAATTCCTGAAAATGAGATCAGAGCCAGTAGGGCATGGAACTCTGGTGGCCTAAACTCTGATCCTACATTGTCCTTGTGCCTTGCCATTTATAGAGGATATGCCTGCTTTTCAATCTGTCTAAGTCATTATTTTCAGAACTTCACAGTATTTTCATTGATCTACATGATTTGACAGAGCTACAAATTGGTAAGAACTAATCAACTGCAACACTGACCTGTCATGTGACTTTGTTGTTTTCAACGTATTTGGCTTATGAATCATTTACATGTAGTTGAGAACTATATTGCAATAAACTGAGACACAGGTTACCTTGACCTTTCTTTGACCATCTCATATTCCTAAATTATTTGTATTGGATATACATGTAGTGAAGGATACTATATGTACTAACAGATACAAATTGGTGACTGCAAAATACTGTGAAATCACTAACTTTCCTGGGGGTTTAATTTTCATTGTTTTCGTGGTATGAAGAGACCCATGAATTCATATCCTCAACAAAATGTTAAAATTTCATATTGCAGTATAATGTTCTTCTTTAACCATGAAATTAAATGCCCTTGAACCAGTATTATTTCCTCTAATCATGAAAATTTGACCCACATAAATGTTTTACAGTACACCAGAGTCACCTGAATGACCTATTGCAGCTAATCATTTTCATCATCGTCGATGTGACATAACATCCAATTTAATGGCCTCTTAAATATCTGCAAATAATATTTGATTACAAAATACATTTTTCATTGTATAAAATATAACTTGATCCGCCTCTCACTGCATACAATCTGCGTCAAATTTTTACAATATGACGTCACATTGACAAGTGCATTGCAATCAGTAAATTGTTTACATCTTGCCATGTGGGATTTAACAAATAACATAACTGCATGTAATAGTAAGTGTTGATGTAGTTTATAGCTTGACCTGTAGTTTATAGTTATAGTTTAAAATAGCAAATTATTTCATTTTGTGGTAATTTGAATAATGGTATTTTTGTGTGATGTCATAGTAAACATTTCCCATATAGATTAGGCCCCACCTCCTTTTTGTAGCCCTAACTGTGCTGCAAAGCAATGAAAACAACCAAAATTGTAAATGATCCTTTGGGTTCTGGGTTCAAACCCAAGGAAAAGGCTTTAAGGGAACTGGCTTTTACTTACTGTGGAATCATCATTGTTCGTTGCGGATCAATGTTCGTGGATTTCGTGGGTCACCCTTACCCACAAATTTACATCCCCACGAACAATTTTTTTGTCAACGTACTGATTAATTAAATCTACCAAATAAACAAGCTGCCCACGAAATTACATCCCCTTGAACCAATAAAATTTTGCTTGCCCACGAACATTGACCCCCACAAATTTAAATGATTCCACAGTATCCTTTGGCTATCCATGTGACATGATAGAAATGAGTTTGAATACTGGTACATGCAAATGTTTTGGTATTCTACAGACTTACTGGTAATTTTTTCCATGGAATCCTACATTCATGACAAACAGATGAAATTCTAGTATTGCATATTTTAATTAGAAAATTAATGATCATCTCAAAACAATAAATAATTGTCACTTTATTATTTAATTTGTTATCGTTCACGTTCTTCATCATCCAATGACGGCAGATAACCATAAAATCGCAGGACTAAAGATGATTTAAATTGTCAAGGTTTGCAGTTTTTCGTTAAGAGCTAGCTGTGTTCTGGTCAGATTGGCAAGGTACACTACCATTAACAAGTCCTGAAAGAACAAAGAATAATTCATCAGACACTGTCTCTACCATTCATCAGAGACTGTCTCTACCATTCATCAGACACTGTCTCTACCATTCATCAGAAACTGTCTCTACCATTCATCAGACACTATCTCTACCATTCATCAGACACTGCCTCTACCATTCATCAAATTGTCTCTACCATTCATCAGAAACTTTACAACTATACGAGGGGCATTTGAAAAGTTCTGAGAACTGCTTGCTAAAATATTAACCATTTCACAGAAGTTAATAAGTTTGATACCATTGAAAAGAGCTAGAAAATTTGCACTTATACGAAAGTCATTTTCTTATATTTATGACAAAATAACTCCAAAAATGACATCAGAATCTTGAATGTTTAGCATACTGAAAAGTCGCGTTTTTGGTCCATATGAGAAATCGAAAAAGTGCTGTCAAAGGCTTCTTTGAAAAGATATTTCAAAGAAAATTTGCATGGACGTAGTGTAAGACTACAAGAATGGTACGGTAAATCAGCAATTCCATATTTTATTTTTTTGTTTGGTTAATAAGCACAGTAATGTTATCTTAGGCATTCATTAAAGATTTTTTTTTATATGATATAGCTGGATTTTCGGACTATTATATAGCTCTCCACTGTACAAAACAAAATATATTCTGTATAAAACTGAAGTGTAATAATGCAGTTTTCCACAAATGTATCTTAAGTATCAGGACTCTTACCGTTTACGAATAAGACGTACAAAAGTCTTCCCCGGGATAAGTTTTTGTGCATATTTTTTCATATTATTTCAACTTTGGCAATCCAAAACTCACTATTGCTTTTGACTTTCGACTCAAAAAAATAAATCCGAGTTTCATTGTCATGTACAATCTTATTTATTTTCCATGATTTGAAATTTTTGAACATATCAAGTTATGGTGGGGTTAAAACTACACCGGCGTCATTTTGGTTTTTACGAGAAAGTATGGGACATCCTTAGCTTAACCTCTCTTGAGTTTTAATCGTTTCCGCATAATTAGTTATAACACCTGACGAATTAATGCCAGCAATTTCTGTAACACCGTCCACTATTTTCCTGTGATTGTAATCTTTGTGTTTTTCTCGCAGCAGCATCTTTTTTACCCAATATTTTGCGCGAGATTCGATAATAACATGCTATGTTTGACACTCTTAAACCACCTCAGAACTATAGAAGCTCCTGAATATAACCTCCATCTGATAGACTGTAGTTTTTGTAAACATTCTTCCAACTGGTAGTTGTGTCCGTTAGCGTGCATCCGAGTAATGAATAAATGTTGACTTTAAAATTTTACTTCACTGAAATTTTGTCTCTTGTTGCGTCATTTTTATGGTCAGTATGCTAGACATTCGAGTTTCTGACATCATTTTTGGAGTTATTACATTATAAAATTTACAAAGTGACATCACAATATGTGTATATTTTTGTGATCTGTCCAATGATACCAAACTCAGTGATTACCGTTAAACGGTTAATATTTTATCAAAGAGTTATCAGAACTTTTCAAATGCCCCTCGTATAAAGATCAGTCTCTCCTCCAAGCATTAATTGTTCATGATGAATTCTTCACATTTTAATGGGTTTTTTTTAATTTTTTTTTTTTTTTTGGTTTTTTACAATAATACCTTGTGAAGGAGATCGATTTTGTCCAGAAAGGAAGGATGTAGAGGATTTATTTTATTGTCTTCACAAGGCCTAATGGTATTATGTACACGTATCATGTTTTACCAGCAACTGGTGAGAATTCTTACCTTCATATTTGAGTTGAGCATGGTTTCAAATTCCTCTGGTTCTATTTTTGGGATATTATTAACCAGATCTAGTAGAAATCGTCCAATAGTTGTATCTGGTTGGATCTTATTGGCCTGAATAATTGAATACGCAAAATTTAGCAACATTACACAAAAGATTACAATAAGACTTATATTCACATATTTCATAAGAACAAATAGATCTGGGGGTCTAAACAGCTAGCAGGAGTTCTTGCTTTCACAGGAATAAATACTCATTCCTCTTAGACCAACATAACGGTGTTTATGTTACTTGTAAGATGTTTGCTGAACAACTCGACAAAATGGATCACAGTACATGTATTTGTAATCAATGACTTCTAGATTTTAATTTACCACTAAAGGAGATGGGTGAACATGACGAGCGATAAGCCTATAGTGTGACAAACATGAAGATGAAAAATTAAATTTCAATTACATCAAAATTTTCCTTGATATTTCATCTAACATTAAAATATACTTTATGTAAAATCTCTACAATTTGCAAAAATCCCTCAAAGATTGAAATTATTTGCCTGTGAAATATTAGACACACACTAAAGCGGGCAAAAAGAGTCACTTTCTCATACTATAACACTATTTTTCGATATGAGTGGGTCTTCGCTCCACCTTTTTGAAAGTTAATCCTCAAAGTTTGCATAAAAATATACATTTTTTGGTTACCAAAAATATGGAGCAATGACCCACTATACCTTAAAAATATACTTTTATGACAAAACATTCGCATCTTTTCGAGAAATACTTGAAGTCCATTAAGTCAAGGGTCATATCACAAACATGATTTAAATGCCAATGGTCGTCAGGACTTGGGTAGTCTAGTGGTTAGCGTGCTAGTCTCGAAAGAAAATGATACTCAGGATTTTTATTGCTAGGGTTTGAACCCCGTGAATACCACAGTAATTTTTTTAATGAAAGAATAAATTTTGCCGAGAAAATTTTCCTCAGAAAAGTTTTGTTTATGACAATTTCATAAATTTCAATAATGAGAACTTTTCTCTAAATATTAAATTCACAAACTGAACATGATTTTTATATTCCTGAAGCTATAGGCTTTCTGCACGCTATGTTCGCCCATCTCCTTTTTGGTTGTATTATAATGGTCTGAAACTGCATCAAAGGTAAACAGTATCAAGAGGTGCATAAAATAATACTTCAAAGTACTTTCACAAGTCATAGCATTGTTCTTAGGAATACCAATCTGAAGAAAATTGAAAATGTCAGGTTTGTGGATATGTCCTTAATTTAGGTCAATGGGCCATAAACTGAAGATGCAAAATGGCATTACAGGTAGGTTTATAATATCTTCAGAATACAATACTGTATACATGGAAATTTTTGAACCCATTTTATTCTCTCCCTTTTCACCAAGTGAACAAATTTCAAACAGGGTGAATTCAACAAAGGCAAGGTGATTTCTTGTAATACAACAATGTCTGGGAGAATTTGAACTAAGGCAACATCATTTGCATGTAAAATAAGGCCAAAATTACGGTACACAAGGTGAAAATAACCCTGTTTACAGTATACAAATTTTGGTATCATTTTGATTTGATAAAATTAAAAAATCAAGAGACAGTTGTTCCTTTCTGAAGTATCCCCATCCATTTTACAACTGAATCAACATAAGGTCAAGTGGAGGCTTACCAGAACATCATCCACATAGTCCAAGACTAGTGCGAGTTTCTCCTGAAGGTTAGCACATGCTCGCTCGACCTGTGTCAGATCACTGACCATACTGACTGTTCTCTTGTTATTATACTTCCCCTGCTGGATAAGGTCCACTGAAATAGATACATCTACATGTATCTACATTTAAAAGCATCAAGTCAAAATCTATATTCTTCATACTGTCTATCTTCTTTTCAGGATTCAAATAAATACACATAGAGCAATCTTCCAAAACAGGATCTGGAAAAATACTTTTAAGAGTTTTTGAGATTCAAGAAGAGGAAGTTCCAAAGAATTTGGGAGTTAATTTGCTTTGTTTGTTTTTAGAGAAAACACTCTGGATGGGGACTAACTTTGAGAAATCAAGAAGTAATATATAAAATTCTTTCAATTTTTCAAATATACATTGTATTTTAGGAAGATAAAAATGTTATGTCCCACCTCCAACTTTTTCTGGTTCATATGTGTTGACCTCAACTTGGACAGGTGTAAACATGCAGCCCATTGTCCTTCCAGGTACACCTATATTAGCACTAAACAAAGACAGAAATCAACATTTAGCTTAGGCATCACTGGTTACCTCATTTGTCACAATACTGATAGGCGATATCACAAGTATCATGATACATATACAAGTATGTGCTTATATATTTATTAAACACTTTTTCCCTTCTTTTATTTTAAGTAACAAAGACTATTTAGCATAACAAAAAATAAACAAGAGGCCCATGGGCCTTGAATCGCTCTTCTGATAAACTGTACAACCTATCACTTCTTTTGAAGCTTTGAAGTATCCTGTATATTTACATAAACCCTTGAAATTCCAATTCACACTCTGAGAACCCAAGCTGATTCTATGCCAATTAGTACCTGAGAGTTGGTCATGGTGACCTACTTATCACTTGTCATTCTCTGAGGACCCATCAACTAAGTTTGATGATTCTAAGCCAATTAATACCTAAAATGTTTTTTAAAATTATAATCATAAAATTTTATAAGTAGGTCAAAGTGACCTACTTTTCAATTGTTTTACTCCAGGGACCCAAGATGCATCAACTGACAAAGTTTGATGATTCTAGGCCAATTAGTACCTGTAATATTTAATTAAAGCCATAAATTTTCAAAAGTAGGTCACCGTGACCTACTTTTCAGTCAACCTACTCCGAGGACCAAAGATGCATCAACTGACAAATTTTGACGATTCTTAGCCAAATAATTCCTGAAAATATTAAATACAGCCATAAAATTTCAAAAGTAGGTCACCGTGACCTACTTTTCAGTTGTTGTACTCCGAGGACCCAAGACGCATCAACTGACAAAGTTTAATGATTCTAAGCCAATTAGTACCTGAAATATTTGATTAAAGCCATAAATTTTCAAAAGTAGGTCACCGTGACCTACTTTTCAGTTGTTGTACTCCGAGGACCCATGACGCATAAACTGACAAAGTTTTATGATTCTAAGCCAATTAGTACCCGAAAATATTTTATTAAAGCCATAAATTTTCCGAAAGTAGGTCACGGGGACCTACTTTTTTAGTCGACCTACTCCAAAGACCAATGACGCATCAACTGACAAAGTTTGATGATTCTAGCCAAAAATTACCCAAAATATTTAATTACAGCCATAAATTTTCAAAAGTAGGTCACCGTGACCTACTTTTCAGTCAACCTACTCTGAGGACCAAAGATGCATCAACTGACAAATTTTGACGATTCTAAGCCAAATAATTCCTGAAAATATTAAATACAGCCATAAAATTTCAAAAGTAGGTCACCGTGACCTACTTTTCAGTTGTTGTACTCCGAGGACCCAAGACGCATCAACTGACAAAGTTTAATGATTCTAAGCCAATTAGTACCCGAAATATTTGATTAAAGCCATAAATTTTCAAAACTAGGTCACTGTGACCTACTTTTCAGTTGTTGTACTCCGAGGACCCATGACGCATAAACTGACAAAGTTTTATGATTCTAAGCCAATTAGTACCCGAAATATTTTATTAAAGCCATAAATTTTCCAAAAGTAGGTCACGGTGACCTACTTTTTAGTCGACCTACTCCGAAGACCCATGACGCATCTACTGACAAAGTTTGATGATTCTAAGCCAATTAGTATCCGAAATATCTAATTAAAGCCACAAATTTTCAAAAGTAGGTCACGGTGACCTACTTTTTAGTCGACCTACTCCGAAGACCCAAGATGCATCAACTGACAAAGTTTGATGATTCTAAGCCAATTAGTACCTGAAATATTTAATTATAGTCATATAAATTGAAAAGTAGGTCACGGTGACCTACTTTTCAGTTGACCTTTTTTGAGGACCCAAGATGCATCAACTTACAAAGTTTTATGATCATAGGACTTAAAATGTCCAAATTATGCCTCTAAAACACTTTGAAATCGAATGCCTGCAAAGTTCAAAAAGTAGGTCACTGTGACCTACTTTTTAATAAATATGTTTTATGGCCCCAAGATGCATCATCTTACAAGATTTAATGATTCTAAGCCTCCCCGTATTCAAATTAATGACCTTAATTGTTTTAAAAAAGATTAGCCATAAAATTCAAAAAGTAGGTCAAGGTGACCTACTTTTTAGTTGACGTACTTTGAGGACCCAAGATGCATCAACTGACAAAGTTTGATGATCATAGGCCTTAAATTGTTCAAAATATGCCTCTAAATCATTTTGAAAAAGAATGGTCGCAAAATTTAAAAAGTAGGTCACCGTGACCTACTTTTGAGTCAACATGATATGAGGTCCTTAGATGCACCAACTGACAAGATTTGATGATCCTAGTCCTTATAGTAAGCAAAATATCAACATTTTAATAAAATGTAATTTTTGGTCAACTTTGAAGTGACCTTGAGACCACGCCCTTTGCCCCAGGGTAAATCCCCGTGCAAATTTTAATCTACAACATATCCTCATCCTTTTGTGTAAGTTTGGTGATAATCTGCCCAGTGGTTCTTGAGAAGAAGATTTTTTAGCAACCAGTACTTTTTTTTCTATTTTCCTAATTATCTCCCCTTGTTAAAGGGTCACAACCCCAGTTTTAGTATAAAAGGGAGCCCTTGGGTCAAGGATACCCTGTGACAAATTTGACAATAATTGGCCAAGGGGTTCTTGAGTTATGGCCCATATTCTAAAAAGTTTATGCACACCGCACAAATGGCCATAGCATTAGCTCTTTGAGCCTTTGGCTCAGAAGAGCTAAAAAAAGATGAGACACAGAACATGCAGAAATCCATTATAATCATGTTCTTATTGAAAACTAACTATCCTGCAATGAGGAAATTATACAAATAAATTACTGTAAACTTAAGAAGTAAAGAAATTCAAAAATACTTCCATGATACTACAATGGCAATATGATAACATCTCATAGCAACTCACTATCTAATGGATCTATATATCGCAGTACTGTTAATCTTCAGTAGTGTTGTTACGATAGTGGTCAATTATTGAAAAATCATTGACAAAAGCAGTACACCAATGAAAATGGATAGATACTTTTTATATCGGTAGTGTCTAATAATTCTGTAAATATTTTTTTTAACAAACTGGTTTATTTTTCAATATTACCTGGGGACATTACTCCATTTCTCATGCAAATGGTGGACAAGCTTTTCAACTATAAAACATATTTATGAGTTTGCCTCAATATTAAATTATTTTCCTCTGCTTCTCGGAACGAATATTGCATGGTTTACTTTATTTATAGCAACCTTGACAGTTCAAACTACTGATTATATAATAAATTGTACGCTGCCAAATGAGTTTGATAATAGATAGTAAAGGTTTGGTCTGATTTTGCAACACTAACCTCGTTTAAATTCCTCAATTCATTACTTAAAAGGTGAAAATCAGTCTATACTTCTCTTGTCTGTTTAAGATCATGGATACACTTACATCAAAACAATTCACTTCATGAAAAATAAAAACAAAATTTCTTAATGAAATGTGTCATCTACCTGACATAGCACTTGATGTCCATCTTGGATCCTTTCAGCCCAGTGTCTACAGTTAAGTGGACAGGGGTCTTTGCTTCTCTGGTGTAGTATTCATGGATGAGAACGGAGTGCTCCGACACATCAGCGCCTGTAGAATACCTGTGTATGTAAATAACAGTTAGGATCAGCTTGTGGTAATAACAGCATGTGTTGGTTTTATTGTGACTAATGCACTGTTGCTTAGGTTCATAAACCCTTGCTCACTCATAAGATTTTGCTTAACTGTTATGATTTTCCAAAAGAAATGATTTAGTAAGATAAGTAAAATACAAACAATTATAGCATAGCTTGCGGGGCAAAATTGGACAAAAAACACACCAACTCGTCAATTTTAAAAAGTAATATTAATAGACATTTATGTCATTAAGAGTTATCTCTCTTATCAGAGTATCGGTGAACCTTAAAATAACAGGTTTATTACAAAATTACAGGCATGTCCGAGTCAAAATGTCAGTAGTCACTAGTTCCAACATTTACACATTTTCTAGTCAAAACAAGAAGGTTTGTATTGAAGGGAAGTGTATGAAGACCATGTCGGTCCACTTCTCTACATAGAATACTTACCATCCTACAATAACCTCCGCTGGGTTGACCTTCCTGTGGAGTTCATACATGTTTCTGGCATACTCCAGATCTGCTGCAACCTGAAAAATCATCAGTGAATGTCATGATTCTCAGATTTCTGGATTTATACTGGTTATAATTTACATCCAAGTTGAGATTACTACATACATACCTCATCCTCGGACTCGTTGTGAGGTACGCAAAAACAGTTTGTCACATCAACCGCTCCCTTGTCACATGACCCTGAAAGTAAACCAACACTCCAGTCAGATGGAAAGTAAACCAACACTCCAGTCACATAGAAAGTAACCCAACACTCCAGTCACATAGAAAGTAAACCAACACTCCAGTCAGATGGAAAGTAAACCAACACTCCAGTAACATAGAAAGTAAACCAGTCACATAGATAGTAAACCAGCAATCCAGTCACATACACTTAACATTAAAATACATAGAAGTAGAGAGATCAGGTCATACCCCAAGGGCTTGCTCCCATTACGTTAAAAAAAAAAAATCATACCAACTACTTAAACAACACATGGGGAAGATACCACCTTGAACCCCCTCCTTACTTCAACCTTTGTTTTCACTTTATTTCCCCAATAAATTCTTCCAGTATTTTACACACTGGGAACAAGGATATCAAGTCAACTGGTAACCTGACCGACTCATAACCTAGTCAACTCGAACCCAACATGTCAACTTGTAACCATACCGCAAATCAGGGTAAACTTTGGAAGTGATTGAATGGTATTTCTTTAAAATTATTTTTCCAGTACTATTATGTAACATTTGAACTCATCTTTAATCAACAAGTCGTCAAAATCTCATTTGATTTTGACCAATTATTCATGAGTTAGGCCAAACAAAAAAATATGTGTGGTTCCGGTTACACTTCCAAAAAAATTAGGGTAGGTAGGTAGGGATTTTTTTTTTTTTTTTTTTTTTTTTTTAACAAAATGATTTCCTTAATTTTTCTAAATAATACCTATCACTGCTTTGCAAATGGCATTTAGATGTGGTGTGATAATATACTAGTCAATATTGGTAGGGGACACCCACATGCTAGCTTGCTTTGGATTTTAAAACACTATTAAACACTTGCACTATGTTTTGCAAGGAGGCTGTCATTGCTGAAACTAAAACTTAAACTGGATCCATTGATGGAAATCGGGGGAAATTCTGGAAAAAATATGAAAATTGTCAAAAAAAAGTTTAGGGTCGGGGGTATAAAATAGGGATGGTCGGGTAACCGGAACCACACATATTTTTTTATTTGGCCTTATTGAAACTCATATGCTGGTACCCCCAAAATGTAAAAATAAAGTATTCTTATTATCTTCTATGCCTCCCTCATGCATCTGTCACAGCCTTGATTCTCCTCTGCATGGAGTTCATCAGTGCATTTATCTTTCCCATAGGGATATTATTCAAACTTCCAACAAGGTAGCCCATATTTGGTCAAGAGAAGCTTGAGCATTCCGATATCTTCAAACTCTACCATCCAGTTAGACCCACAAATGTTCGATTGGAGAAAAAGATGGACTTTATGAAGGCTAGTCGAGTGGGGTAATGTGATTCTTTGAAAGAAAGTCTTGATAAACTGTGGATACATTTGGCCAGAAGTTAACATGCTGAAAAATAAGGCATATGAAGCACCTGTGGGCTAGTGAGAGGAACACCGACATAAAGTAAAAGCGAGATCACAAACCAAAATCACGCAACGGATTTCTTTCAGATTTGGGGAGAATTTGACAATTATGATTGCCTACTGTATTAAAAGCAGTTTCTTTGGTAGTGAGGTGGGGATTACATAGGTGGCAGGATGAATAGCCCAATTTTGATGTTGCATTGTTATATGTGAACTTCATCATCACAGTTGGTTGGAAACCTTTCAAGTTCTTTTGATGACGAATAATATGTTCCATGGTGGAAAAATGGACAGCAACTTATTGTTGCCTTTTTCTTTACTATGGCAATGCAACAGCCAGACTTCCTAGGACTTCCCATCAGTTGTACCCTGATTGCAAGATGTGTGTACTTCCAATGCATCAGGTGGTACTACGAGATGTGTAGACAAACCTGTTATCATCAAAATACTAGTGTTTTGGGCTTTTTACCACTTTCCCTACGTGACATCATACATTTCATGGATGAGTAATTCTGAACATCGATTTTAGTGCACAGTAATCAAGCTACCCCTCTTTTCCTTTCAGTATAAATAAAAAAAATGATTTAAGAGAATGAGGTTAAAAACTTCAAATTAAGTTTGATGTTAAAAACTTCAAATTAAGTTTTTTACCACAAAATTCGATTTGGGGGTCAAAAAGGCCAAAAACCTCATTCTTTCATTTTTTCAACCGCTTACACAATCTCATATATATTGAATTTGCCTATAGCAACATTATATAAATAGTGCACGTTTTTGAGGGTAACAGTTGAAATTGACACCCCAAGGAAAACCATTGTCAACCGACGCGTCAGCGGAGGTTGACAATGGTTTTCCGAGGGGTGTCAATTTCAACTGTTACCCTCAAAAACGTGCACTATTTATTTTATTATACTGAATCTCTTATTGATTTCGGATGTCATAAAAAAAATTCGGAGATCGTCGTTAAGTTCACGCTTAGAAAGCTTTCAAACTCCCCGCTTCTATTTTTCTCAATAAGAAAGCTTCGGAAAAGATTTACCAACCTCTCTATTGTTTGTTTGCTAGTCAAAAAGTCCTTTATCATCTAAAGTTTGCACTCGCAAGGATATTTCGTCTGTCGTTTGTTGTTTTCAAGTAAGCTACATCGGACGCAAGCTTTTATTGACGTCGTTTATTCGCCTTCTTTCAAACGCACAACCGACGTTTTGAGAATTCTACGGTGAACCGTACGCGCATGATTTGAACGCATGTGATATTTTCGTAATGTTACCCGTTGTCAAGTGTGTTGCTAACGCTGAGGGTAACATTACGGATTGTTAAATGCGTCTAAACCAATCAGATTTTAGTATTTAACATGAAAGTATAATAATAAATTTTAGCACATTCTTCTGGGGAATGGTGAAGTCAAGTCGTTCCAGTGCATCTTAAAAAATATGCCCGTATGTCATAGATTATGCTTTACAGTTTAGATTTTTTTAAAATCACTTTGATATGCTACAGTAGAGACATGAATAACATGTACACGTCTGGCTACATACAATCTTGTGAAAAGAAATTAAGTTTGAAGTTTTCATGAATCCCCAACATTTGAATGATTGATCCCACATCCTTCAGAAGATCTTTACTTCTTTGGGATCAATCTTTATGTAAAGTATAGAAAAACTTGCTTGCCAAAATTTTAATACTGTACTCACATTTATCAGGTTGGGACCAATCGCCCAAATGGGATATAAATTTACAATGCAAAAAATTAAAATTTTTATCTTGGCTATAAATATCATAAATTCGCATCAAGATACTTGTAAAGGAATAACTTTTGGTTAACAAGTTTTTCTGTATGACCACTGTTTAAGAGATTGATCCCTCGGAAGTTCGTAAACTTCTTGGGGATCAATCTAACAACCCGTAGGGTTGCAGAAAAACTTGCTTGCCAAAAGTTATTCCTTTTAACATGTTTAAAGTATTTTGATGCGGATTTATGATATTTATAGCCAAAGTAAAAATTTTCATTTTTCTGCACTGTAAATTTATATCCTATTTGGGATATTATATCCCAAAACGGGTTATTATATCCCATTTCGGCGATTGTTCCCAACCTGTTTAGGAGGATTTATAACATAGCCAAAATAATTTTTGCTACTTTTTAGCACTGCAAATTATATTCCGTTAGGGATATTATATATCAAAAGGCCTATTACATTCCATTTTGGCAATTGTTCCCAACCTGTTTTAAAGAATTAGTTAGAATTTAGATTCTTCTATTAGCAATATGTTGACATTAGATGGTATAAACATGGATTCTTATATGTACTTTGAAGTACCTCATCAAAAACTACCCAAAAACATAGCTACCTAATAATGTTCCAATTACTCTTCTTGCGTCTTCATTTCTTCTTTCAAAGGATTCAATTATGCTAAAAAGCACCACCGGATGAACCCGGCACACGAGGTTACCTGCCATCTTGGATGTGTGAAGGATAGAAAAAGCTGCTCCGATATTGGTTAAAATAAATACATAATTAAAGAAATAAAAAATAATTAAACAATTAAAATGCATTATTTGGGCAATTTTTCTTAAAGATATCGCAAAGAGTATAGATTTATTCAAAATTGATTTTTTGAAATTATTTTTATCCAACCACCTGCAAATGTCTTCTACCAAACAAGGAGCACGATGGCTATCATGAACTTCCGGTTTGGATTTTTCACCCAGACAGCGAACATTCTTGAACTCATTTTTCGGGGGTTTTGAGACTATTCAAGAGGAAAAACATATGTATTTCGATTGATGAAAAATTCAAGGTCTTGATTAAGGGTAAGTGACACCAGAAGTGAACTTCCAGGTGATGATTAAGATGGAGAGTCGGTTGCCACTGTATGGAGATCACTCATTTTCATTTCCATGCATAAAATCATGCGCGCGATAACGCGTTTTTTCGAGGTCATTGTCGGGAAGCAAAAGTTTGTAGAAATTCCGTAGAATATCTTTTGGGTATTGACAACCGTATTATGTGCACTGGTCAGTGTATGTTTCCATGCAGAAAGTCAAAACATGCTCACCCCACATGGAGTTTGATAAAAGTGTGAATGTCAGTAATTGTGTCGAAAAAATGTAGCCAGTAAAATGGACTTTTTTCAAGAAAATATTTCACTATTTAATATTTTTCAGCATGCTTTCATATTCTAATCAAGTGAGAACAACATGTATGCCAATTTGTTTACATTTTCAAAATTGTCAATTTTTTAAAAAGTTTTTATTTTTATAATGTTTGTTAAAAATATATATTTATTAGTCATGAAAGAAATGTAAACTCTTTTATTTTACTATGCCCTGTAAATCTGGAGTCATTTTAACTGACAGCATTTTTACTTTTTTGAAGGATTATCAAAATGAAAGTAGTACATTTTCCTGTAGACAACTTTCACATTTAGAAAGGTTATGCTATCCTATTGTTACAGTTACTGTGATAAAATTTAAAAAATGGTATAGAACTCAACTCCTTTTGTACACGATGCCTTTAATAAAATTTTAATATTGTTGTTTTATTATACCTTTGTTACTGTGTATTTAAATAAATGCTATGTACATACAGGGACATAGAACGTGAACTTAAGAACTTAAGAACATTAATGAGATGTGCTTTGTAAGGAAGTACTCCAACCTTTTTGGCAATTGGAGTTGATTGAGCTGCTATTGAGTTTTCAAGTAGTGCTTTTTGTTGAAATACTCAGGTATATTCATGATATTTGCTCAGATAGTCAAAGAGTTACATGTTGATCAGGATTATATTAATACAAAGTTTGAAAATCCACTGGAAACATTATGCCTTTACCTTTTAATATATGGCAATATTCAAATCCTTGAAAATTTGAAGATTTTTTTTTTTTATTTATGAATGCATTTTCCCATTTAAGTGTAGGTAATACGTAGTCAGATGAGTTTATTGATGTGATTCTACTTAGGTCCTATGCATGATCACGTCTGACTTTTTGAGATCTTGTACATTCATATGAGTGTCCTATTTTAAGGATTTGTGAGGACTGACTTGATGTCTAGCAGTGAGGAGAGTGAGGATGATAATTGGGGGTTACCAACCCCCTCCTCGGGGCCCAGGATGGAAAGGTGCCTTCTGGGAAAGCTGGAACTCCTTCTTCCAGAATCCATGTTAGAACAGGTACATCAGCAGGGGAAGGGGCAGACCAGGCTCTGTCAAAGCTGTGGGATGTTAAACATTGATATTTTCGTATTCTCTTACAAAAATTCATTGATCTTACATAATAGATTTTGGAAGGAGCCACGACGTATTTAGCCACAACCTCTATATATTTACTTCTTAATGTTTACTACAAATGTTTCAGGGCCACATCTTTCGAGATGTCTTGAGTATGGATACCTGGAAAAATGTTTTAACAGAGGAACAAAGGACACACTTAAAGGTTATTACTTGTATATGAAAAATTTTTCTCAAATTACACAAAAGGAAGGAATGATGTTTGGCTGGTAAAAATTGTACACTGACATACTGTTAAAAAACTAACTGTAAACAAAAATATCTAGATAATCATTTCTGTTTTTGAAGTGACTCCTGGCTTTACCTATATATTAATAATTTAATGTGACTGTTTCAGACTCTTTTACCGACATTTCCATCAAATGATGAGGCTGAAAAGGAGGAGTCCCTCAGGTAAGAACTTTTAAGTAATGCAAATCAATCAAAGTAGGTCACCAAGTCACTCTAAATATAGATCACTAAGTCATCCTCTCAATGTAAGCCACTATAAATTAGAATTTCTTAGTGATGCAAGTCAATCTCTCAATGTAGATAACTGAATGTAAGTCAACCTCTCTATGTAAAATAAAAGTTTCTTAGTGACATACTTCAAATCTTTAAATTTCAGGAAACATAAATGATTTATCTTTCAGTTTATTGAATGTTAATCTAGAAAATTAAGAGAGCAGTCAATGGTAGCATGAAGAATCCCATGTGTTTATACGTGTATATATCAAAGTAATATATCACATGTAAAAAGAGAATTATTGCCTGTATATTTACTCAATTGTATTGTTGAGATCTTGTTTTCAGAAAATTATTTGGAAATGAAAATTTCAAGTTTGGAAATCCTCTTTCTCAACTTCAGACAAAAATGAGAGGTGAGTTATTAAATTCTCATTTTCAGGTGATTCCATTAAGAGTTATTGTCAGTTGATTCCATCAAGAGTTAAAATATCATTTAGAAGTACATGTATAAAGTGGTGTTCCAAAAATTTAACACAGAGTTGAGATGAAAAGTAAAAGTAAATTTAACCGTATGTTTTCATGTTTAGACACAAATATACAATTTTAATTACAGATGGGTTTTGTTCGCCAGACATTGCAAAGTATTCAAGCTTATGCCGAAACATTAAATATCGGGAGTATAAACACAGACAGCAGAGATACTATTCCACATTGTTGAAGGACATTCTGCTTTCAAGACAGGTCAGTATGATAAGAAAAACAGCTGCTATCAGGTGGGTATGAGATTTTAAAAAAAACTCTAGACAGGTCTGACAGAGCAAACAAAGAGGTTCTGTCACCTGATTGATCTTTGATATGATCTGAAAGTGCTTCCAACCTTGATAAACTATGGGGATTTAAAAATTTTTATTTGACTTACTGTAGAAGGCCTATGATGAAATTCAGAAAGTACCCCCTGGTGGACAACTGGAATTTACCCACAATCCTCCAGTTAATACAAAACGTAGTTCTGTGGAGCACAGATCCAAAAAGAAATATGTCAGGTGAGACAAAGCATCATGTTTAGTTCCCTGCTTTTATTCCGCTGTACATATTTCCTTATTGAACTGGTCAGATCTAAGAAGAAGTATGTCAGATGAAACTTAAGTGTATTTTCCCTGCTCTTATTCATCTGTACAGATTTCATAATTAAATTGATCATTGTCAGATAAAGTAATATATACACAGTACCTGATTGTTGTGGTAGGTTGATGAAGGAAGCCAGACAGGAATGTGGAATGGAGGATACCTCGTCTGAAGAAGAGGACACCTCAGGTATGTCTATGCTAAGTCAGTGGAACAAAGTGGTCGTTAGTCATTAGTACATAGTGGTCAGTAATCAGTAGTACAGAGTGGTTTACTCATTAGTATTGAGTGGTTGTTGGTCAGTAATACAGACTGGTGGTTACATAAGCTTTCTGCTCAAATCATTTGAGAAAAACCCAGTTTGTTTCTTATCCAGTGTCAACACAGAAGACAAGGAAGCAGCTATTTAAGTCAATGCACCCCCTCCCATCCCCAGAGCCTACCATACCAAGTGTGGTCCACACCTTCTCATCCAAACCTGTGGTCGTCAATGGAGACATCACCGGTATCTTATTTATTGTTACCATTCGTATTCAGCGTACATGCACAACAATTATTTAGTTCAGTTTTACTGTTAATGGAGTTGGTATCTAGGTAACTTTATGTTCATTATACATTGGTTGTTTTTAACATCAGGCTTTGGTGAGGGACAGCAGAAGAGGCAGCGTCCATTCAGCCCAGTAGAGGTGACTGAGGAGGATTATAGAAATCTGCTGAGGAATCACAAAAGGAAGAAGCTGGAATCAGAGGTAAGTTCCTCCACAGGACTTGTCAGTGAGCTACAGATCTGCTGAAGCTGGACTTGTCAGTGAGCTACAGATCTGCTGAAACTAATCTTGTCAGTGAGCTACAGATCAGCTGAAGCTAGACTTGTCAGTGAGCTACAGATCTGCTGAAACAAGACTTGTCAGTGAGCTACAGATCTGCTGAAACTAGTTTTGTCAGTGAGCTACAGATCTGCTGAAACTAGACTTGTCAGTGAGCTACAGATCTGCTGAAACTAGACTTGTCAGTGAGCTACAGATCAACTGAAGCTAGACTTGTCAGTGAGCTACAGATCTGCTGAAGCTAGACCTATAAATGCTGTCATTTTACAGTTTAAAATATGGAACTAGACAGGACTGACATAAACAGTAAAGATATGAGATTGTTGGAGAAAATGAAGTTGAAATTCAAACAATAGTTGGAACTTTAGCAACACTTTGACAAATTCTATGTATTTGACATATTTTTTTGTATTTGACTTATTCTTTGTATTTAACATATCCCTTGTATTTAACATATCCCTTGTATTTGATATACTGGCTTTCCAGATGTGAAGTCCAACTGGACTTAAAAGAGAAAAAAAACTATATTTTTAATGTGATCTGTGTCTGTAAGATACAAGACTTCTCAGTGCTAATCGGTGCTTGTAAAGTTGCATGTAAAGGTAAATATTTTTCTATAAATAAGTACCTGGTATTGATTTTATTTTAAGGAGGATCACCCAGAATTAAACACAGATTCTATTACACTTCAAGATATCATGTCACGATGTCAGGCCACCAATAGAAGCAGCCCAAAAGAGATAGGTAAAGACATAGGTGTATGCTGTGGAATCATCATTG